TTTCAAGTTATTATAATTTATCTTAATAATAATAATATATTAGGTATATATTAAGTAATATTACTAAGTATAAAATACTAGAATAATAGCTAAGAGCTTAGAATTATATATCTCGTACCTGCTTTTAATTATAGTTATTTTCTTTAAATAGAAAGTAATAGAGTATTACCTAGCTTCTATTTCCTTACTAAAGAGCTAGGAAATCATATCTATAATTATAAATTCTAAAGTATTTATTTTTATATAAATCTTTAAGGCTAGGTTAAAATAATAAAGAATTAGTACTATTATAAATATAATTTATAGCTTCTTAAAAGCCCTATCTGCCTTATTTATCTAGCTAAAATAATATTATGGGTTTTTACTAGTTTTTAATAAATTAGTTAATTCTTTTACTATCCTAAAATATTTATAAATAAACCTCTAGTAAAAGTTAGTAAAATCCAGAAATACTTAGATTTCTCGGATATTATTCTTTAGGGCCGGCTATTTCCTAATAACTATAATCCTGCTAGCTTCTATTTCTATACTATTTAGGCTAATTATAAATTTCAGGAACTTTACTTTTTCTATATTAAACTCGTATTTTACTAAATTTATAAAGAGCTAGTATTATTATAATTACTCAAGTATATATTAGACTATTACTATATACTATTCTAAGTTCTCTAAATAAATCAAAATATTATCTAGATAAACTATATAAATAATATTTATAAGACCTACTAGTATATAATTAATATATGCCTGAAATATTACTAAAATATTAAATAGTCTAAAGAATATAATATAGTACTTAAAATATCTATAGTATATTTAGAATACTATTTTCTACTTATTATTCTCTCGTATTTATAACTAATAATAAGTATTCTTTAAGTCTAGCTTTATATATATCTTTACTTTATAAAGCCTATTTATAGTCTTACTAATAAGTAATAATAGTATTTAGTTCTTAATAATAATCCTATTTAGACTCTAGTAATTAATATATAAATATAGGCTGCCTTCTTTCTTTAGAATAAATATAATTAGGATACTAGCTAGGCTAGTAAAATAATAGATCTATTTTTTCTTTAAACTAGTATTAAGATATTCCCGAAAAACTTTAAGCTTTCTTTCTAATAAAGTATATATAGGATTATATAGTAGTTAGGACCCTGGTTCCAGATCTATATAATACTTTATTATATAGTAATTAGGTAATATACTTATAGCTTTTATAGAAAATACTTAGAAAAAGTCCTAATATTTTTTGGGAAATATAATTATCTTATTAGTAATAATAATAATAACTTTTTAGCTATCTATTATAAAATAGGTAATTAATAGAAAAATATATGTCTTATACTTTATTATTTTAGTAAACTTCCTAGTATTTAGAACTTTAATTTTCTATAATTAAATCTAGTATTTTTATATTACTTTCCTAAAAGAAATTAGGGAATTAATCTAGTAAAGCTATAGGAATTTAAGTATTATATTAATATAGTTTAGATTAAAATTATATAATATAAAGTATATATTAGCCTCTTTTTAGTTCCCTAGTATATTTTTAGTAATAATCCCAAGAATATAATCTTTATATAAATGAATTCTTTTTTCCTCTAATAAGAATAAGAAAGTTACCCTTAATATTAATAGAATACCTATATCTAAAGCTAATTTCCTTTTTATATAATTAGCCTCTATATCCGAGTTTACTAATACTCTAATTCTTTACTTATCTTTCCTTATCTTAATAATAACCTTAATTACTATTCTTATTTTAGGGACCTTGCTTTCTATAATATAAACGAGTATAATTACTATAAGATATATTCGTTTCCCGGCTTCTTTAGTACTGGGTACTTATATAATTTATAGCCAGACTTATTATAGTTATAATAAGTCGGTTTCTCTTAATTAGGGCAAGTAATAATATAGTAACTTTCTTTCTAGTAAATAAAGCAAATTATATCTAGTCTTATAAATCCTAATATAGGTACTATATTAGATCCTATTACTATATCTTTATTATTCTAGTTTTATAAACCTTATAATAGGAATATATTTCTCTTTTATTTCCCTTTATTATTTCCTTTCTTTTTTCTCCTATTTCTTTTCTTTTATTATTCCGTTAGCTTATTATTATATTCCTATTAAATAAATAAGTTTAAATTATTTTTAATTCTTATAATTATAAAGTATTTACTTAATAATTAATCTTATCCCGAATTTCTTATTTCAAGTTACTAAATAAGTTATCCCGCTTTTATAGTAAACTTATATATCCTAAGTTATCTAATAGGCTATTTAAGTAAGATATAAAGCTTTAGATATTCTAGCCTAGCTATTATTTTATATTCTTAAACTTAGTAAGAATATTATTATTATAGTTCTCCGGATCTAAAATAAAATCCTTTATAAACTTAATAAAGGTCTCCTAATCCGTAATATTAATATCTACTAATTACTTCCTATATTTCTAGATATTCCTGGCTATATTCTTAAAATAAGAAGTATAATATATAACCTTTACTATATTAGTAGCCTAGGTAATCCCGCTATTTTTATATTACTTTAACTTTACTTAATAAAAGAAGTCCTGGGCTTCTTTAATACTCTTTTCCCGATAAGTAAGTAATTCTCGGGTTTTTAAAGCTTTTTAAACTAAGAGTACTACTAGAAGTATAATAGGTTCTATACCGGATATCCGAATATCTTTAAGATAACAGATCTGAGCTTCTAGCTTTTTTAGATCTTCTCTCTATTATATCTCTATTTCTAACTTAATAATATAATAGTAAGCCGCCGCTAATTTCTCTATTATTATTATCCTATCCGCTAGTTCTGGGAGTATCTGAGTTTTATTTCCTTCTTCTAATTAGGTAATATAAAAAGTACTTAACTAGATACTCCCCTAGATACCCGGTTAGATTACCCTAGTAATAATAGAGGCGCTTCTCCTAGTTAATATTCTAGCTATTAATATTTTGTCTATTAATAGCTTAATTACCTTATAATAAACTACTTCCCGAAGGTTAGATTAATTAGAATATAAGGCACTTAATAGTAAAGTAATATATAAGTAGTTAAGGTAAATAAGCTATAAAGTAATACTTGCAAATATAACTAATTCTAAGAATTAATTCTAATAAAAGACTAATTAATACCCCTTTCCAAAACTAGAAATATCTCCCTATATATTCTCTAGTACTTAGCCAAGCCTGCAAAATACTTTACTTAATTAGGAAATATAATCCTATATAATTCATATAATTCCGATTACTTATATAATTCCGATTATAAGCTTTACTTAAAATAGGAAACTAAATCTATAATATTTAATACCTATTTATATGCCATTATATATACCTATTATAATTAAGAACTTTTTAATAAATTATTTATATATCTAAAGCTTTATTATTTCTATAAATATTTCTTATAAAAATATCTAAAAATAACTTATTATTTCTATTATTTTCATTTTTAAGCCTTTATTTTTCCCTTAATTATATATCTTTAGAAATATTAATTAGTTCCCTAATAATATTAAATTATAGCCTTTTTTATTTAAAAAAATAATATAATTATAAGAGTTTTAAGCTTACTAGATTATTTTATAATTTGAGTATTTTTTATTCTCTAATTATATATATATTATTATTAAGTTCTTAATAGCTTTACTAATTTCTTTATTAATTTAAAGTTATATAAGTTTCTAAAAGCTAGAAATAGTTTTAGTATACTTATATTATAATAAGAAAATAAGGTAAGAAACTTACTAGTTTATTTTATAAATCTCTAATCTTATTATATAATTATAAGCTTTTCTAAAATAATTATTTTATTATTATTAATAAAAAGCTTTTACTAAATCCAAAAGAGTATTAAATCTTTAAGCTCTATTTTATTACTTAGTTTAATATCTGAATTATTAGAATTATTCTCTATATTAGAGGATTTCCTATACTATTTATTAATAGTTATTTGGATTATAGCTTCTTTAGCTAGAATAAGAACTATAATTAAATTAAGAATTAAATTAGTTTACTTATATTTCTAAAGGCTTATAGAGGTAGCTATTAGAAGTATTTAAAAAGGGTACTTAATTGGGTTTATAGTTATTGAGATATTAATATAATTATAGAAGAGCGGTTAATTTAGGGAAGCAGTTATATAATAACTAAAGTAAAAAAATGACTATATAAAATATAAATATATTTGCTTACTTAATTATATATATTATGACTTCCTTAATAATAAAGATATTATAATTTTGAGAACATAGAATTAATTCCTAGAGTATATAGTATAGTTTTAATTAATACGATTTATATTAATTAGTATTGTAGTGGTTTTTATTTTTTTTGTCGCTTTTGGATCGGACCGACTGTATTCTACTTTTGGAGGCACGTAACGGTGAATTTCCACACCGCCCTGTTTAGAATGAATTGATGATGCCTTCTAGTACGGGAAGCCTGGTCTGCAACTATTAAGTGGCTGTATAGGAGCCTACTATTGGGAACGTGATACATACCTTGACGGCCTTGACGTTTGTCAGAGGGAGAGACTCTTGAACTCGCAAACGCTCGCTAACTTTTCAGCGTCCCCGACGCAATTCGCAACGCCTATTATAATAGAACCTCGATATAACGATCCCTGATATAGCGATATCCTTAGTAATACGATACGGCCTTAAGGTCCCGCAATTTTTTAGCCTTAGGCTTATGATATCCTTGGCATTACGATTATTATAAGGTTTTTCGGTCCCAACCTTTAATTTTTAGTAGTATATCGTTCTAATTTATTAAGAGAAGGAGCAATTTATTAATACTCCAGGGCCCTCTGGCACTGGTAGCACAGCCTCTTAGGCTATTAATCTTACCGAATCACAGCCCCTTGATTATACCACTAGTTCTCTAGTCCCTGAACAGCCCAAAAGAAGACGGAGGCATGACAGAAGCTAATTAACGAGCGCTACGGAGCTCCTTCTCTATTTATTATATATGCACGTGATCCTTGATTTAATAATACCTCGGTATATTATTAGAAAAAGGCGCTAAGATTAATATCGTTATATCGAGGTTCTACTATAATTCCATATTAAGCCTGGCTCTAAACCCATGATGCCAAGCCCCACCCTTATACGGACATTATTAGACCAAAACCCCATCTCTCTTGGCCCGCATAACCTTCAGCTCTGGAATTTTCCGTTCCGGATTGCCCTGTAAAATCGACTCAAAGTAATCCCTCATACTCTCCATCGCCTTCTCATAATATCCGCTCTCAGCCTCTGCAATCCTTACAAACTCCAACACTCCTCTTTCCGGGCCATCGACGAATAATGGAAAACACGGGCACGGAAAACCCGGGTCTCGGACGACAAGAACCACTTCCTCCAAATTCTTAAACTCACAAATCTCAAGCACCTCATCTTCGACTCCTCCGCCCCAGTGGTCACACCAAACTAGCTCCTCGATAGCAACGCGGCGAACTTTGTCCTTCATTTCCTCTGGCAGAGTAGAGCCAAAGGCTGTATCGATGGCTAGCCAGCACCAGGCGGGGAAGAACAATGTATCGACAGATGGACTGAAATAAATCTGAGCTGGATGAGTGTCGTTTGGGAATGAAAGTATATAGTTCTCGAGAGCAATTGTTCGAGACTCATGGTTTACACTCAGCAGCGAGGGATTTGTTGTAGGAGAGTAAAAAGGCATAGTATTATCCCGGACTGCCTGGCAGAGCTCGACGATACGACCCGGAAGGGCGTAAGTCCATATCTTGAGGCGAAGCTCAGATGGAAGATTGCTGAAGAGTTTGAATTCGGAAGGCTTGGTTGCCCTAGGTTTCTGTAATGCCTCCGTCATGATGTAGGAAGAGAGATTTAAAATAGTAATACAGTAAAACCTGGGTATAACGGAACCCTCGGTTCGTCAGCAGGCCTCCGATGTATAGAGGTTTCCGATAAAACCAGGTTCGACTGTAGTAAGTTAAGGTCGGATGTAGATAAAATAACTACGTTTTTCAGTCGGTGTGACTCAGACAAAATCAATTAAAATATGAGATGAGTAATCAAATACTTCTAATTCGCGAGCAGGCCATGAGGGACTCTGAACCGAAAGCTCCGCCATGTTCTGGTGTTGGACAAAGAGGAAGTGCTGCCTGGATTTTCGAAGTGACTTGGGATGCTACAGTACATTATCTTGTATTGAGATACTTGCGATTTGGTTCTAGTGGGATGTCGCTCCAATCTGCCGATCCAGCATCCCTGTCGCTTCAGCCTTCAACGACGACTCGATTGCGGTAATCAGACAACCACTTCCCTTCAAATGCGATGCGAACCTCGATAAAACGACCATGAGATGATCACCGCTTGCTTCTCTAGAAATAGACGCGAACGATCCAGAAAAGCTACTGAGCTCGACAGTGGATCGCGCAATACATTCTATGAAGTCTGCTCGAAGACCTGCTATATCTTCGGACGGCGACAGAGATGATATCGAGATCACTGGTGTGGAAATTCTAGGTACGATACTTAAATTACAGCCCTTGTACTCCCCGAGGAACCATCAACCCATTTGTTTACATTCAACAGCTAGTTCTATTTAGATGGACAACTCTACGTTGGAACATCTGCCTCCGAAATCCACCACTTTATACAAATACCCCCCGATACCCTCCGCATACCATAGCCTCCCACATTTGCCCGCCCAGGAGTCCAGCAGATTCTCCTCATGCCAAAAGTCAACAAGGCCTGTATACTGTGCAATTGGACGGCCACATTTTATTCTTTACCAGAGCTTAGCCCTGCTTTTAGGATCACTCAGTTGAAGCAATGCAATTGGATTGGTGGCATAGATCTCAATGTGGACAACGATGGAAGTGGGCAGACTAGTCAGAGCCCAGCTGCTACGGTACTGCTTTCGCTGAACAAGAAGATGAGGGTTATTAGGATTGGGGAAGATCCCCGTGCACTAAGGGTAGGAGCTGTCGTCCGCGCATGCTCATGCTGGTGATGGGAATATTTACTTCAATTGCATGTGTTGCGGATGCACAATCGTATGCTCTCCTCGACGTTGATCGCCAATTTAAGATACCGCTATTTCCAATCTCTTCTAATGACGATTCACAGTCTGGAGGCGTATCTGGCAGGGTCGAGGATATCTCTGGGAAGTCTGGTGGGGGGTATTTCACGAACCACGTCGTCCGCTACCTAGGGAGGCTATTCAGCTGGCCGTGACGATGATCGAGGACACAACCGAAGTACCAGCCTAGGCAACTTCATGGGCGGTGCAACTCGTAGTCAAGCTCAGCAGCGTGGGGTAGGCCCTGATCTTGGTGGGCATGACACGCCGGACCAATTGTTCAGAGAAGCTTCACCTGCACCAACTACCAGCCTTGCTCCCGCTCCTCTTGAGCCAAGCCCAAGCTCGAACAAGCCGCTTCCAGCACCGCCGAGTGAAGCTAGGCAACAGAACAACCTCCTCAGACAACATCTCCTGTGGCACCCGCATGTCTGAAGCCTCACATAGTCTCTCCGACAGCTCAGGAGTTTCTTTTGGTCACTGGAACTGGTCCACGTGATCCTGGAGTTGGCATGTTTGTCAATCCTGAAGGGGATCCCACGGGGTCAACATTAGAGTTTGAAAAATAACCAGATGAGATTGTTGCAAATGGCCGGGGAGTTGACGTTGAACCCACCCCGGCAAATTTTGATGATGAGAAGGGTGGATTCTAGCATCAATGGCTCGCGATTTCGGCGGAGACTTGCGGTATGGCATCGAAATTCAGTGACGGGTCCTAGACCCTGGACATATAACTTCACCTGCTTCCTATCGAGCACCAGGATGCCTTCACTAGCGTCGAGGCCCCACGATTGAGGGACAAGAACTCATCCCACCCTCCCGCGTACCACCATGGTGGCGACCGAGCATCAGGATAGCTTCGAGCTCAGAAACAGCAAGGAATCAGCATAAAAAATTTCTCAAACGTTCTTCGAACCGCATGATCATTTATACTGACGGCAGCAGCATCCACAACAAAGTAGGAGCCGCAGCAGTGTCGCCCTTGGCTAGATGCACGAAGATGGCATATATGGAAACAGTGAAACCTCGACGGTATGCTCGGGCTCTCCCTTGACACTACTGAGGTGCCGAAATTATCGAGATATACGACGGAGGAAATTTGGCATAAGGGGACGAACGGACTTGAGGGCGATCTTGAACAAGCCAAAACTAGTCACCAAAACAATGCGATTCATGGACTGGTATGCAAAGGCATAGGGATGTCGTGCTTTTGTTGGGTAACTTGGGTCCATTGTCCATGTGCTGCCGGAATTGCTCCCTTCACATCTTTAGGGGGTTATGCGTCGTGGTTAAATGTTTCACCGAGACCGAAAAAGTATGCGCACTGGAAAAAATTGACTTGGATCGGGATTCCGCACGTGTCATGTCGGAAGTGAAGGATCTCCCCAATTTCTGTCGCAGAGGAAAGGAAGGATATTAAGTAATCGCGAAGACGAGTGACTTATGCTTGGCGGAGTGGGAATCCTCATAATCCTACAACGATGTTCGATCCTACCCCATATTAACTCAATGTTTGCATCGCATTCGCATTCGCAACCGCAATCCATTCAGACCCCAAGCAACCCAAGTGCTGTCAGCCTCTCAGCCACGCCGCGCCCCTTTCATCTCACCCCATAATTTGTCCACCCTGCACCGCCTTGATAGTTGCCAAGCACGATTGCAGGACTCGTCTGGTCGAAATGAGGGAGGTGCATCGAGGAGTCACAAGGAACTAAGCCACAAGTAGTACTCTCAATGAAGATTTCCGCGGGTCTTGGACTTGCCGCAGTGAGGAAGTAGTAGAATCAATGGAGGGACACTCGTAAAGCGAGGTTAACTCCGGCTATTACAAAGCCGAGTCGTCACACCCGAAACGGTCGTCCAGATTGGCGACCCGACTCGCCGGCTCGAATTGTATTGCAGCTGCATCCTCCCGAAAAGACGGCTCCAGTAACTCAACTGCCAGCAACATGCCGTCAATGACATCTCCTTGCCGCCCACGCCCGTTCCGGGTTGCGTATAGCGTGCAGATCTCGACCACGGGGTAATACAAGGCATGTTTCCATTGCAGAAGTGCTGGGAACCACTCGGACTGAATCCCTTCTTCGGGATCGCGAGTGGCCTACCAGGTGAAGTAACAGAGATTATGCAAATGCAAATACTTTTGGAAAGCTTACACGACATACTACTGTGTCTGATAGTGGAGTGATTTGGTAACACATGGAGACGGGAGCATGGAACCTTGAGCCTTGTTCCATTAGCTAACCTCAATGTACCAGAATTTATGGAACATTGAAGCGCCGTAGCATATTTCGAAGCAACTCTGCCTACAATTTTTGATGTATAGAAAAGTGGAGAGGGAAGCATGCTATACTATTTGCGTGGCGCTTGCCCTTCTCGGTGTCATCTCTGGGCATTCGGACCAGAAGGATAAAACAGGAGATGTTGAGAAAGGTCTGGGGATTGTGGTTCATCCTGAGTACAGTATTCTTACAGAAAATACTCATGCGAGTGTGCAAGATCAACCAAGTTGACTCGCATCTACCAATATTGTGTGGGAGCCGAGAGGAGGGACGCCAAATTCCGGACGAGCCTTCAGTTGTGATGCGAATTTTGCTCCTCGGTCTGCGGTCGCATTTTGCTCCCTCGGAATGTGCCAAATCGAAATCTTCTCACAACGATTAGCTTGCAGAGCCCGCACTCTCTTCAGTAACTCTTCCCACAAATCCTGATTCTCGGTCTCCTCCCCACTACTCAACTTCCAGCCGTTCGACTCCCAAGTCTTGGCCCACTTCGTGGCCCCATCGACGACGTAAGTCGAATCGGTTGCAATGACAAGTTTTGCAAATTCTTTAGGCTTCCAGGAATTCAAATCGCTGTGTTCTTGACGGAACCAGTTGAGAGCAGCCAGAACGGCGCGAAGTTCTGCGCGGTTGCTAGTCTGCTTCACCCGCACACTGGTGGGGCCCACGTCTTCCAGGCGAAAGAAGAACATGCCGTGCATGCAGTAAGCACCTTTCGGTGGGTACCAGGGCGCAGGTATACTATCACTACAATGGGTGACGAATGCACATCCACCTTGACTTCCAGCTTGCCCATTGTTGGCACATGCTCCATCCGTATAAACCAGCAGCTCCCGATAATCCCGATGAGCAACGAAGAGTTGCCCATCCTCGTGTGCAAACAGAGACCGCGGAGTTGAACATGGGGCAAAGAAGTGTTCGGGATATGTTTTCGAGGTTGCGGGTAGCGGTTCGATAGATGGCTTCTTGTTTCGGCCGTTTCGGTTTTGTGACCTTACGCATGGCAAGTCTTCGAGGTCGATATGTTGCGGCAAGGCCATCGTTCTCCAACGAGCACCAATCATCGGATCCAAGAGGGCATTTTTCCGTATCATAGTCTCCAGCTCTTCCCGAATCTCTGTATTTGTCCAACCTGGTTCGCTATTGGCAGGATCGAGAGCTCTCCGAACGTAATCTTTCAGAGCTGGTGTCCACTCGTCGGGGTATTTGTGCTCATTCTTGGTCGCCCAGCAGTCGTTCCTGACATGTTTGTGGAGCTGATTGTTTGATTCGAAATCCTGCCTGCACTGAAGGCATATGAAATCTCGCCATCCCCTCGGAATCGAGACACTCGATTGTGCCAGTTTCCTCCGCTTTGGGCTATGCCATTGCCCGTCTTCTTCGTTTTCGGACCACCAAGCCATTGTTCCCTTCCCCTTCCTTTTTTAACCGCTACAGTTAGTAGGACGATTGTACATGGAATTGTTCGTCGAGACGGTTGAAGTTCGATGCGTATGGGCTTTACTGCAAGTTGCCTTTGATTGTCGCTGGATGGGACTCTGCAAACGTCCTTCTTCATTTTGGCAGCGTCGGCTGGTTCCAAATGCTAGCCCGATTCGTCTAGGCCAAGCATCACATGACCCCAGCCCAGTTGTCTTGGTATTCGCTCCTTCCTCCATACCTCTGAGGACTCTGCTATCAACATGCTTCACTCCGAACAGAACACAACGGATAATGGGTCTGCAACCAGATACTTTTGACGGAGCATCCATTCTCCCGCACTCCGGTTGAAGTCGATAACACGCTGTTACTTAGAAGGTATCACCCACCAACCGCCCAAACCCCCTTTCCGCTCAACTTGGATTTTGGAGACCTTAACGCCACAAAATCGAAAATTAATGTGATATTCGCAATATTTCGAGTATTCTCTATAATTTAGCAAATTTTTAGAATTTTCCAAAGACTTTGAAAAATCGAGAAAATTTTGGTGGGGTAGGCATGGGCGGAAAGGGGGTTTGGGCGGTTGGTGGGTGATCCCTTCTACCCCTGGCGAGGCGCAGCACTCGCACGCTTCCCTGATTGGCACAAGGCGGACTGCTGGTCAGCTTCAATGCAAGAGACTACTGGCTAATTCTCCCCAAGGCTGAATTTGCTCACCGAGATCCAATCATGTCCGGCTTCCCTACTCCACAATGTCCAGGCAAGGCTCTCCCCGGTTGCAGTAAGTGCAGCAACCACGCGTATCGTGCGAGCTGCAGACCGAGGAACAAGAGCGACCCCAAATTTTCGAGGCTTGGGAAAAAGGATGATTTTCCGGTCGTTGCGCTTCAATTAAATCATTAACTCGAACTGGAATGTGTCCATGCTGTGAATCTTGCCCCCGTATCATTCCCCCATCATGGATCCTCTCTCGATTACCTCGTCGACAATCACGCTGATACAGGCCGCCGGCGCCGTATCTTCGGCTCTCTACGAATTCGTCGCAACCTTTCGAAATGCCGACACACGAGTGGCATCCCTTTGCACCCAATTGTCGAGACTCATCAGATTCCTTGAGGCCGTTGATCGAACCCTCAGGAAATGCCGTGGGCCACTCTCGCTAGCCTCAATGGACGAGGATTTATGGCGGCAGAGTGCTCTCTCGTTGGAAGATTGCAAAACAACACTGGAAGAATTGAGCATCTTCATTAACCGAATCAAGGCAGCAGCCAAATCCCCGGGCTTGTTCAGAAGAGCGAGGGTGGCAATGGACTTGACCATGTACGCAGGAGACATTACCGGCTTTGAGGAGAAGATCCACAAGTCCAATTGGGCTCTCCAGACCATGCTGTCTGCTATCCAAGTGTGAGTCGTTCCAATCGCTGCCGTTCGTAAGTCCATGACACTTACTAATGTACGGAGCAGCTCACTCTCGCTGCGAGGAAATGAAACTCAGGACAAGATCCTCTATGAACTTGGGAGATTGAAGTCCTCTATTGAGCAGTCTATTCAAGCCTCCTTTCACCACAGCGATGGCTTTTCTCACATGCTGGAAGATCCATCCGATGCTCGTGTTGCCTACAATCTCCAAAAGCTGGCCCGAGCAGCACAGAATTTCCACTCTAGCGCCAGCTCAACTGCCAGCACAAGGGAGTCCAGCAGTACAATTTACGGTACCAATGGAAATTCGTTTTGGAACGTTCAATTGGATTCAGCTATGAGCATCAGGGGCGGCCCAAGCTTGACCCCCAACAAGAGACAGCAGATTGACCAGTTCGTCAAGCAACAGCGGCGTATGACACTGCGCCGACAGCGCAAGCCGCTCCAACACGTTCCAAGCTCTGCCGCGGCGTCTGTGGTCCGCCCGTGCACCCCGGAGCCAGCCCCAGCAGTCTCATCCGAAGAGAGTCAGGAGACCGAGTCGAACATGTCTGAGACGGCAGATGACCATGATGAAGTCGACGATGAAGCCGAGTTCCAATCGTTTCTCTTGAGTGGACTTGAAGAGGTGGCGAAGGACAGCATGCTCAACCAGGAGTTTGCCAAGGCCCAAGCCATGCTGGAGGAAGCGATTCAGAGACGGACGGGATCGACCTCAGAAGACGCCGAGTTCAAGCAGCTTCAGATCCAACTTGCAACTTGCTATTTTTTTCAACACAAGTGGCAACTTGCCGAACCATTGATTGACAGCATCGCCAAGTCGAAGGCCAATTTCGACCCGGTTGTCTGCAATCTCCTCCACGCATTGGCGATCGCCAATGCAGTAGAAAAGCGCTTCGGGAAGGCTATTACGGTGTGCAAGCAGGCACTCCAAGGAAAGAGAAGACTCAAACAGGACTTCGGGGACACTTCTGAAAAGGAATGTAACGAGACTCTCGGGCTCCTGGCCACCATTCATGACCTCCATGGTAATCGCTTGGATGCAGAGGCACTACGCCGGAAACTCTCCAACGGATTCTCCTATTATCACCCCGAAAACGAATTGGAATTCATTGTTAGCCATCCGAAACTGTGCACGGAGGTGTTCGGAAAGAAGATAAGCCTGGATTGGAGACGGCCACAGATAGCTGCAACAAATATCGGTGCCGTTGCTGAACTAATGGCTGACCTTCCCAAAAACTCGTTTTTAAGTCCAATCAAGGAAGACGACACCCCGAAGAACAGCAAGACATCCAAAAAGCCACTACAGACTTTTCATACGAAGCTAAGTCTGTACGAGAGGTTGAACATGGACTCTGCGAAGGAGGTCGCCGTCTCATCGTCTCTCCCTGCACTTACCTCCGATGAGAACTCTGAAAATTCTCCCGATGAGACCCCTGCACCTCCCCCCGATGAAATTTTCAGTACATGGTGGAGTGATGCCAGCAGTGGATCCTCATTCCGGCCAGGGATGTCACCCAAGCGGCCATTTACACGGAGAATTGCTCGATTCTTCGGCACTCGGCGAGGACGAGCTACCATGCCTGAAGACAATTGGAGCACTTCCCCCTTTTCGGACAGTGAAGATATGTCATCGCCTGCGCGACCCAAGTCTGCTAAAGGATTTTGGACCAAGAGCGACAGTCAAATTTTCAAGTTGAAGAAATTAAACACAAGACTTCGGAAGAAAACCAGCGACGAGGCTGACAGCAATTCTTTCTCTTTTTTGCGTGCAGTAGATCGTCCTTGGCGCCATGGCATTGACGCATCTCTTCGTTGGAGTTCCTCATATCGCCGCCCTTCAAACTATCCCTATTTTGATGTGGATGACTTGTCAGTGGATGACTTGCAATTGGATTGCTTCCGCCAAACCAATCATTGGGTGCCCGCTTCCGAAATCCTTCAAGAATCGATGAAACAGAGCCACCTTCCTCCGGCGGAACTTGAGGATACCTCTATGGTGATGTTTTGGTCTTCACCGTTCAAATCTGGTGAGAGAAGTTATTCGAACCGTAAGAGCCAGCGATTTCCGGGCTACTTTGACCTTCAAGCAGGCGCTAGACCTTTCGTCCCTCCCTCAGACTTTGCTTCGCCAGTAACCAGATTAGCAAGCAGAATGCCACTAGTTCCTCAAAGTCCCGGCGATAGCCAAGTCCCGGTCGGCACCAAAATCTCCCCCAGACGCCCATCAGGACTGCTCTTCACAAAAGCGCTCCATGAAGAAATGACGCGCATGGTCTCTTTCAGAAAACGCGCCGATAAGCCCGTCCTGACCGGCGGTCCTGTGCGAAGTGAGAAACCTGAGTGGAAGACGAACACTTCTTCTCTTCGTGCAAGGGAGGAGATTGACTTGAACTGTCCGCCCCTCGCCACTTCTAGAGTACCAAACTTGACAATAGCCATTCCGAGGTTTGGTGAAAGGTCAGAAGGTATTCCGCTCGTAGCACATCATCCGGCAAAGCCACTTGTCCCTGCGACTCCCCAAAGCACGGGATTTCGGCCTGAGATATTATTCACGAGCACTATGACCGCTGATCCGAGGACACATGCCAGGAAACAAGATATGGCCAAGGTGTTGAGTGGCTTCAAAGACAACAATATGGACGAATTAGCAGTTAGGCAGAAGCAAGATCGGGACTTTGATGAGGCTATGCGGAAGGAAGCCCAAGGTGAGTTCAACGGACGGGGCTAGTTTCAAAGTATATCCATGCTGACGCTTGCAGGCTTGTCGGTCGGTAAAAGCGGTGGAAGGCAGGCGTGGGTCCCTGCCGCATTCTTCAAAGACTTATCTCCCATCCCAGCTGCAGTCGAAGGTTCTGTTGCCAGCGCCTCTCGAGACTCAAAAGAGCAGGGTCTAGGAGTTAAGAAGGAGGAGTCTTTGGTAAGCAGTGAGATCGACTATTTCTCTCGCGCTTTTCACGATGTAGCTGCTCGAGCAACGAGGGAGGGAACTTCTGGACATGATCTTTCTACGCCTAGCTATCAGCTTGTTGACGGGGGAGTGCGGGAGAGGATGAAGTCCCAAATAAAGCCTGAAAGCGCAAAGGAATGCCCATCAATGACGAATTTATTGGCAAGGGAAAATACTCAGCTGAGCGATCAGAGGACCTCTGCCCCGAAAACGCAGGTAGACTCTGGATCCACTTCTCCTTCCCTTCCGTCACAACAACTTGGCCGAAAGTTCAGCTGGGAAACCGTATTCGAAGAGGACAGCATCTCCGGTGTACCGACGGAAAAAGATCCGAAGTCTGTTCCACCTCCGCTATCGCAACTCAATATTCTCAATCGCAAGTTCAGTTGGATCAGCGATGAAACTTCCGAGACTCCGGACTTGGTTCGCTCATCGAGTTCATCCAGTTGCTCAAGCTCCTCTACTTCTTCGACTTCCTCCGCCTTCACATCGGTTTCATCTACTTCAAACGGGCCAATGCTCAAATTCGGCTCCGCCATGAAGGAGTTGTTAATCGTTGGAAACGATTCCACTTCATCGCTGGCAGAACCTCGGAATCAGGATGACTTCTTGGAACAACTTTCTGTCGGTATTCTTGATAGGAAAAGTCAAAGGTGTTCAACCAAAACTTTGCCACTAATGTCGAAGATGGAAAGCGAGGTCAAAGCCAAGCAGGGTAATGAGCCATCGAGTGTTGACACGAAAGGTTCCGCGGAACCCGCCAAATCTCTTCAAGTCAAACTACTGGCCTGTGAAAAACTTCAGGCCCTTCCATTTATTCGCCCAACAGATATCGTTCAACGGATGATGGAGGAAGAAGAACGAGAAAGGGAGAAGAATGCGGCCACGAATCCGACAGAAGGAATGCTCAATCGGCGGCATCCCCTGCGCGCAAAGAGGAAGAACAGAAAGATAAAGCGTGAGGCAGCTGTTGATGAGGAGAAACGAATGCCGTATCCTGATGGTGTTTCATCCTCGGGAGCTTTGAGTATTGGCATCGCAATTTGAAGAGGGGGAGTAATGGACTCTCATGCGATGAGATATGGTGCCGCGGCTTGGAGTGCGTGGAGGATTGCTTTTTTTTTTGCAGATATTCTTTGGTTATCTCGCGGCGTTGGGTGCTCGGGGATGGGGAGGCGGCTTTGGTATACTTTGTTGTTGCGATGCAATCTGGTGGAATATGTCGGAGTTGTGATTTCTATGTGCGCGGCGTTCCGTACTTTCAATCATGTAATCTACCACCAGATGGGTTACAATCAGTTTCCGCTCATAAAATGAATACGAATGAATGGAGATAGGAATCCACATCATATAGCGCAGTGCACGAACTGCTTGCTGAAACAGAAAGCTTGACGTCTGCTTCCAGGATGGAAAATTCGGATAAAATTTTCGTGGGGGGGAGATCGATGTCTGGTTGAGAGTGTGTTGAAAGGGTTTGATGTGGGGTGGAGTCACTTTTGGGTGTTGGGTCAAGTCCTGAAGTCCTGAAGTCCTGCGAGGCACCTCTTTGGGCGGATCGTGAGGCATATATATACGGGGCTGGTTTTAGGGCCCAGGCGCTTAAGCGAGAGCAGAGCCGAGCAGCGGGGACGCGAACTGGTGATTTGAGTGGACTTGCCGCTAGTAGTAAAGATATAGATCATAGCGGAATTTGATAGCCTTCTCAGAAACGATTCAATAGAGGTCAAGTCGAATTGTATTGCTGATTTCGCGTGAGAAGGCCCGGGAAGGTGAAGTCTCACGCCAATCAGGTCTGGTGGGTAGCAGCTGTCGCACTTCATAGTTTATTTCCTCCAAAATTGATCACAAGTGTGCGACATAGCTCTATGTAGCTAATGAGATCGGCTGCGGATAAGTGAGGATGGGAGGAGATGAAGCAGCATCAGTGTTGTCTCTTTCTCTAGAAGGGAATGTGCCCCCCTATTTTTCAGGGGTTGCGGGGTAAATTCGCTTACAGGCGGGAATTGGGACGCCACTTACGTCACTTAAACATCATTCAGGGGCTTCTCTTACAATTCAAGTACTCGCAATGGGTATCAATGAGGTTTATATAAATTTTAAGCTTATAGACTTCGTGTCGCACGATAGATCCGATCGAATCTTATTTGGTAAGTCCCCACTCTAAATGAGGCGCTAATCAGCCTCAACCTGCAAAATGACATCGTTGGCGGGGTACGACTAGTAGCGTCCCAAAACAGGGTCGCGATCCTTGTACCGCAACAACAACTTCTACAAGTACGCCCAGAGATCTGATAAGTATTGTGTTTACTGCCAAGCGATGTTTGCGGTTCATTCTGTGGTCATGCGTATCTTCTGGCTGGGCGAAGTAACCCTTTCGCTTTTACTACTCGATTGAATCCTCACCTGCGTTTCGTTGTGTTGATTGTCGACTTGGCACCCCTCGACCCCTTTCCGTCCCTGGATTCTTCATTCCGCAATTCTTTAGATACGGCTACGGAGATACCTACACAATGGATCATCCAGGCCCCTCGCAACCTCCACTCCCACCATCGACAACGGAAAACCCAGTCGTGGTAGTTGGGCGGAACGTAAAGTTACTGCTGAGTTCGCACCAACGGCCAAGCATCCGAATCCTACGCAATAGCTCAGTTCCACGCGCCGTACCTGCGACTCAAGACTTTGCAGAGAAACCTCTACCTGAATTGCTACCTCGTGGAAATGTACAAAGATCCGAAGGCGGTGCAGAATTTGCGGCACAGGATGGTGCTCAGACAGAATCTTCCCCTACTTTATCAAGACAAAACACGCTCGCCAATCGTTTTGCTGGCGCTCGAAACCGCGCTGGGTCTGTAGTGCAGTCAATCCTCGGTCGTGGTGAAAATTCTGCCGAAGATGATAAGCCCTTTGAGAACGAGAATGAGTACGATACAAACACGGTTGACCTGTTGGATGTCATGGGCAAGTAAACCAAGCCCCAAATTTGAAGCGAGTATACTAGCTCTTCCCAGACCCAGAAATAGCTACCCTTTCAACGCTCACCAATGTCCAAAATTCTCTCTTCGTCCCTTCCCTCGGAAGATTTGTCAATCGTCGACCTACGTATAGAGTTACGGAGAGCGCTCAAGAGACGCGCACAATCGATAGGCTGAAAACCAAATTGAAACGCATAGCAGGACTAGGGGAGGAAGGAGAGGAGAAAAGAAGAGAGGATAGCTTGTGCAACTGCCAATATGCCATCTTGCCAGATGACAAAACGCTCGAAGGCTGGACACAGGCGGACAAGGAGGAGCTGGATGATCGTGTTAGACATATGCTCCATTCACGACGAGCGAAAATGAAACGTGCCTTGAAGGGTTTTGGGCAGTATGTCCGGCGACGTAAGGCCACTACCCCCAACCGTTCACGATGTTTTCTAACGAATGAAATCTTGCAGCTCTTGGACTATTTATCACAGTTTACGCTACTCTAATTACACTTTTCGGTGCGGCATGGGTGTTCTTCCTCATCGGCTGGATATCTCTGGGTTCGAAGCAAGACTATGTTGTTAACGTCATCGACAACATCATGGTAGCCCTCTTCGCAATCATTGGTGACGGCTTGGCTCCTTTCCGTGCCGTCGACACCTATCACATGATCTATATCGCGCATTACCACCGCAAGACCTGGAAAAAAAGAGAGAAACTCGGTCTCCCTGAACTGGTAGATCACAACGATCTCCCCGATAACCGAAAAGAAGACATCCAGCCCGCGGAAGTCGACCTCGAGAGTCTCGTCGCCCAAAGAATGCCCCGCAGTCTCGCTCGCAGAGTCGCTCCCCGGATCCCAAAGAGATATGCTTCTCGGATGATTGCGCGCAGCACCCCTGAACCATCATACGACTACTCGGTCCTGACTGAAGAAGAGCAAACCAAGCTGGAGTACCATGAAAGGAAGTTCTCGAAGTCTCACACGTTCTACAAACCTCATGAGACGGAGACGCACTACGCGTTCCCGCTCAAGCTCCTCATCGTCGTTGTCGTGTTGCTGGATCTCCACTCTTGCCTGCAAATCACGCTTGGTGCGTGTACATGGGGCATTAACTATCATACGCGACCGTTCGCTCTTACGACCGTAATTTTGTGCTGTAGCATCACCTGCAACATCACAGGCGGGGTGCTCATCTCGCGCGGCGACAAGAAGACGCGTAAGAAGGATGTTATCGAGCGCATGATGAGGCAAGAGCTCACTTCGGAAGCAATCGAGGAAATGGAAATGCGCTGGATGAAGGAAGCCGAAGAGCGGGGCGAGATCGACAATTCTGTGAGGAAGAGGCGCGAGGAGGCGCGGGATGCAGAGGAGACCGAGGAGATTAAGAAGTCGTGGAAAGTCGTCCCGGCTCTGCCGAAAACGTTGCTTGGCAAAGGGGTCGACCATCGGCAGCCATCGCTGCCACAGGAGGCTAGGAGGTCGGGGTCGAACGTCGATGTTGCGGCTTCGAGTTCAAGTTCTGTGAAGAGGAAACCTGCGTCGAAAAGTAGCTCGGCGTTGCCGTCTTTGCAGGAAGGAGTCGCGCAGCCATCGCGTCCGAATCCGGCGCTGACAAGAGGCGAGGATCCAATTAAGGAGGGGACGGGGCAGAAGGTTATGAGGCTTGTAAGGAGAGCAGATTTGGATAGAAGCTAAATGGATGCGCTGAGCTTCAGAGAAGATCATAGGCAGGGTGTGAGGAAAGACTGGTGACATGCATATGCATAATAAAGTTCCTCAGCAGCAATTGTTCGACGAAAGGTATTATGAAACTTAAGGTGTCTCATGAGTTTGTCCGACGACAATTCAATGGCATAATCGAAAGCAAATAAATATGTTTACTAATCACATCGCATTTGAAGTCAGGCAAAGATGTTTAATCCAAATCGGGCGTTGGTCACTGGATTCCATGTAGAGGCTTGAGCACTTTTCCATTGAGTAAAGTTATCGTTACATTGTCCTGGGTCTATATTGAATTCTCTACAATCACTTGCAGAGCTCAACAAGAAAATACAAGGTAAACGCCGTCCCTCGAGCTTTCTCCAGCAACTAAGGAAAGCAATCATGATCGTACATCTCCCAAAATACCCAAGACAAGAAAACATTAACTTTTGATCAGAGAGATCCCACAAATACAAATATCGTTTCCATCGCATCCCTGCATTTCATCACTTCGCCACGCCATTTGAATGAGGATCCCACTCAGTCATCTCAGCCGACAGCCCCGCCTTAGGATCAGTCTCATACTTAACCTGGTACTGCACCTCCTTCTTAATAACTCCCTGTTCCACATCGCCCTTCCCGAAATGCTGAACCCTCTCCTTGGTACCTAACGGCACCTTCTGAATCGGCAATATATTCTCCTCCGAACTCGACGCCTCGACGTGTGACTTGGCCGTGTTCTTCCCGTACGCGAAGGATGTGGAGCCATTCTGTCGAGAGCCCAGTTCGTAGGCGCTGTTCGAGCCGTAGTGCGTCATGGCTGTCTTCTTGGCGGCGCTGAAGAGGGGCCGCAGCAGAGGAACCGAGGAGGCGACCATGACGAGCGTGTTTTCGACGATGACCCAGCGGAAGAAGAGCACGGTGTTGTCTGTAACCTTTGTCAGCATGCGTGCGCGGGAAAAGGAGGGAAATGGAATTTTGGTCAACTCACAAGTATAGTCTGAGCGCTCTCCAAGGTTCTTCAACATGACGGTCTTGACAATCGATGCAGCGAAGGCACTACCAACAAGTCAGCGACGCTTACTTTGAGAGAGGGGGAGACGGCTGTGGGACGTACAAGACACTGAGTCCAAGGAGACCGGCCAGACCGAGTTTGATTTTCAAGTCCATTTGCAGAGTCCAGAAGATTCTCAGTGGCATAACGGTCAAGATGAGATCAGTAGCAGAGTTGAATACTATAGGATTATTAGCTTTTGAGCGTCATGAACTCGTTGCTTTCTTACCTCCTTGGACATATCCAGTGTCGGTTTGCACATCGGGCGACCAGCATTTGCTCGGCTCTCCCACGGGATTCCAGAGACTGTGCACATTTCCACACTGGGTGAAAATCGTAATCGAGGTGAAGAGATTAACAATCAGTTGTTGTGCCATAAGGGCATACAGGAACCACCGTCTGCCCTTGGTGTTGCCGAAAAGCCTTACCAAGAGGAACATGAACGACACGCGACCAAACGTGCTGCACATAATTGCTGCGATTTCGTCAGTTTGCGTCCCTCCAACATGTTCAAGCCAAAGAAGAGGGAGATTGACACTTACCAAGGGGCTCAGACACGAATACCATTTCCATTGCATTCACCTTCTGGCTATCGCTGAGAAAGAAGAAATGCCTTCCCCAGCCATGAGTGAAGGCTAAAGTTTGCATGGTCAATTGAAGAAGTCCGAAGACCTATCGAAGTAAGTCAGAATTCAATCGGAAACGATTTTTGGAGTCATTGGCTCACCAGAGCTCCGACCATGACCACATCTCCAACTCCAAATTGTCGAGTGAGCCTCAACTGAGTGTACACTCTCGCAGCAATAACTATGGTAGAGAAGGCGTAAAGAGTCCACCCCTCGGCCATGATTGAGTGCCCTACAGGCGGCTGGTGTAAGCTTGCAAAACATTTCTGGCAATGAGTTTTGAGTGTGCTGCTCACCGATGTTAATATCCCCTCCCTCTGGTCTTGGGATCGACATGATTTTGTCTTGAAAAAGCAACAAGTAAAGATCGTAGGTAAGATCGAAGATCTCGCTGATCTCGATGTTGTCTTTGCAAGCAAACGGAAGTGGTCAACCTTACAACCTGCAATCTAGAACGATCTTACCCACGGGGTAGAGCGTTGAAGATCTCACGTCTTATTAGTACGTTCTGCTCGCTTCAAACTGCTGGGCCAGGCACCAGGGGTAAATCTGTACATTCGCTACCAGCGTTCAAACAAGAAAGTATGAATCCGTACGCGATGTGGTCCGATTTGGGCAAGCCAAATGCTGGTCTCTGATGTGATGGTGACATCTCAGGGGTGAGAGACAAATGTTGCCAAGTTTTTCACGGTTCAAATCTGCTCATAATGTTCCGGACTGAACGAGGACAACGTCTCAAGCGAATTTAAGCGTAGCGAGACAGCCACAGACAGGGGGTAAAAGCCAATAAAAAGCTCATATTGTTCACTTTCTGGTCTGTGCCAGGCTGCCGGCCCGGAGCTCCCCTGTCTCGCTGCATTTAATCGGGCGGAGACGTTGCACCGCGTACCCTGTATAGAGGGACCGCCTCTCCTCATTTGGGACCTTGCGTGTCTCTTCCAAGGGGTGACGCGGATGCGAAGCAGGGTTCTTGGGGGGGGGGGGGGGGGGGTTTGGAGGCGCCAATGAGGCGTTTCAGTGATTCCAGCCCTCTGGTTCACACACCACCTTCCTATCATGTCAGACTGTCAGCTTTTGGCTTGTGGGCTTCCCCGGCGATATGGCAATTGGGACCGGCACACGGGGGCACAGCTTGGATCTAAAATCTGATGATGTTAGGACAAGCGAAGAGGATCTTGACTGGCTGCAAAACCTCGTCAACGCTTGAATTTAGAAAGCCAGACATAGGGAGACTCACTGAAAGCTCTGAGGTAACAAGGAGCTTTCACCTTCTGTTCATAATCGCAAACTTGGATCATGTCCCACTTTCCTTCAGAATCCTGCATCCCCTTACAGAACTCCTGCACGAGGATGATTTCCTAGATCTCCCGTTCTGGAAGGAAGACTCTCAAACCCTGATGCTCATGGTTCTGAAGAACGTTGAAAACTTAACCTTGTACGTGCAAGCCAGTGATTGGTGGGCGTTTCATTGGCGTCAAAGTGGGTGTCAGAATGTGTCCTGTGCCGTGTAATGCGCATACATTGGGTTTCTTTAATCTGCTCCCCCGGCTTATCGAGGTATCCTGGTAGAATGCAGGACAATGCACTACGGAGGTACAGCCCATAATGATAGTAATAGCGCTAGCAGGGGTCAATAGAAAACTCGTGATTTCAACACTCGACAACTTTTGCTACACAAAACATAAAAAGTACATTTAAACGCTGTAAATATCCATAACAGTGCCGTATAGTAGTGCTACGTTTTTTTTTAAGTTTTTGCGATACGTTCTTGTTGCAATACCAGGTTGAAAAGTTCGGACCCCTGCTAGCGCTATTACTATCATTATGGGCTGTACCTCCGTATGCACAAACGAGCATTAACGGAACAACGGTAATCAAATCTGAGCTTTTATACAGCCAATTCAATGTTGTTCAGCAACAAAAGACCACCGAAAATACTTAGACTCACTGCTCACAAGATAACACGGCGTTCTTCTCGGCACTGAGTGTGTAGCGGCGGAATTTTTCAAGTGATTCGGTTGAAGATACAGTAGAACCTCGATATAACGATATCAATTTTAGTGCCTTTTTCTAACGATACACCGAGGTATTATTAAATCAAGGATCACGTGCACATATAATAAATAGAAAAGGACCTCCGTAGCGCTCGTCGATGAGCTTCTGTCATGCCTCCGTCTCTTTTTGGGCTGTTCAGGGGCTAGAGAACCGGTGGTATAATCAAGGGGCTGTAATTCGGTGAGATTAATAGCCTAAGAGGTTGTGCTACCAGTGCCCGAGGGCCCTGGAGCATTAATAAATTGCTCCTTCTCTTGATAAATTAGAACGATATACTACCAAAAATTAAAGGTTGGGACCGAAAAACCTTATGATAATCGTAATGCCAAGGATATCGTAAGCCTAAGGCTAAAAAAGTGCGGAACCTTATGGTCGTATCGTATTACTAAGGATATCGCTATGTCAGGGATCGTTATATCGAGGTTCAACTGTAGTCCGACTTCGAAGCTGGGCTAACCAAAAAGCTGCATCTGAAGCAGCTCGTACGACCCCGCCAATAGGGCGCCCATGTCAGTAATAAACTTTCTGATCATTTAGTGTTATTCACAAGCGTAAGGATATCTCTGCCGTTTGGCGTTCGGCTGTCGCTTGGCATCTCCCGAGATGCCTGAAACAGTTGAGGAATGTGGTTTTCGGGTTCATTGAGGGGTTTCCGAGAACTACAGCGAGGATTCAAGATTCAACTCTTCCAGACTCAGACAGCCACAGTGAGCTTCTGTAAATTTTAAACGATACAGTAAGAGGCCCGTGAATCACCCCATATGGAGGTGGCTGAGAAGCGGCGGCTGAGGTAAGATAAGGACAGGGGTCAGGGAACTCCCTGTTAGAGGTGGAAGAACGGGTCGTTGCCGGCCTGCTCCTGACAGCGGAAAAGAACTAGACCAGACAAAGGACTTCATCCGCCACTCACCGTCGGTAATTTCTTCCTTGCCGCCTCCATGCACCTTAAAGGCACATAATTAACAGCATTTATGGTCGTGGACAAATTTTTGCATTCCGTCTCTGCCTGGCCTTGCACCCAAAAGCGATTGAAGTTGAGCCAATTCGATTCCCCCCCTCACTCTGAACAATGATGGAAATCGTAACTGAACCAACCCTGATCGAAACTCTTCTGCGAAGAGTGGCCTTGCAAACCAAGGGTGGCGTGGAAGCTGGAGTGACTGATAAGCTTGCTCGAGAAGCTCTGCTCAATTCCCTGCGCCAGTTGACAATAGCGTTAGAGAGCCCTGAGGATGTTGTCAATAGGGTGGTGTTCTTCGTATGGTCTCTATGTCAATCTTCTTGAACAATAACTGAGTCAATCTAAATTAGCCTTCAACATACATGTGCGCTCGAGTTGCAATTGATTTGAAGTTATTCGATATTATTGCCGGATCGAAGGGAGCGATTGCATCGGCCGAACTTGCAACCAAAACCAGAGTTGAAGAGCAGCTCCTAGGTAAATTATCCAAGCCATGATTCCAAGGCTTTACTGCTAACTTTTCCTCAGTCCGCATCCTTCGTGGAATCACATTTGCGGGTCTGGTGACTGAAGTGGGCGAGCAGCTCTACGAAGCAAATGCAACCACCCATCACATCAAAAACCCCTCTGTTCAAGCCGGGATAATTCATCTGTACGCGCCTTAACTGCCATTTATTACCGAGCAAAGCTGAAGAACGACTCTAGTTACGACCAAGGGCTGAAGAGCGTCTGGGCAATGCCAGATTACTTCAAATCGAATGGATTCAAACTACCAAGTAACGCTGGATCCGGTCCCTTTCAGTTCGCTTTCGATACTCCTCTGGAAACTTACAGTTACTGGGCTACCAAACCTGAAGTTGCCGATAACTTCAACACCTTCATGGCGGGGAAACTGAATGCCACTAGCACCGGTCAGTCTTGGGAAGAGGCCTACCCGGTGAAAGAGAACATTGTAGATGGATTCGATGCGAGCATTAGTAATGCTCTCTTTGTTGATATCGCTGGTGGACGGGGGCATGAAGTAGGCCAGCTGAAGGCAAGATTTCCAGATGCACCGGGACGGTTTATTCTAGAGGACCTTGCTCCAGTGATCGATGACATCAAAGAACTTGACAGCAGCATTGAGCGCATCAAGTATGATTTCTTCGGACAGCAGCCTATAAAGGGAGCTCGTACATATTTCATGGGAAACACCATGCATAACTGGCCTGATGAGGACTGTGCAAAGATCCTCAAGAATGTGGTACAGGCTATGGTAAAAGGATACTCGAGGCTCCTCGTGAGCGATGATATCGTTCCAGAGACAAACTGTCCTTTGAAAACTTTTGGCAGGGACATTGCCATGCTATCTCTCCATAGTGGCTCTGAGCGATCTGAGAAGCAATGGACTGCTCTTCTCGAGCCGGCAGGACTCAAAGTTGTCAAGTTCTGGTATTTTGCGAAGGGAGAGGGTCTCATAGAAGCTGTTTTGAGGGATTAAAGTATTCCATTTCAAGCAATATTACTCATACACAATCCAATTCAATCTTTGCCAACGTAGCTCGCGTGGTCCTCGAAAGTAGTTCAAGTTGCTCTCCCAAAGATCATGGAATTGACCCCATAATTAACCGTAATTCTACAATTTCTGTCTCGTTTTGGACCAAGGGCAATTCGAGCAAATCTCGCTTGGAGCCCCAACTTCCCATCGCCTCTTTGAGAAAATGCCAACTTTGCCCACTTTCTGAAATGAAAGACCTGAACAGAAGGATTTGTGGCGTCCAAGCCGTGAAGATGGGATGGCAGTTGCTTGAAGGGTTTCAACATTCAGAACTCCTCTTTTTCTATCAATAAAGTAAGCGCATGCAAGCCCGCATGTATCAAGATGCGTATTCAGAATTTCAGTTGGACATGTCGTGTAAGAATGGCGGCTGACAGGCGCAAAGTATTAACGGGCCAATTGAAAGAGGATGGTCCAAGGAAATCCCAATGGCCAGGTTCCACTTTCCCCTTCGCCCATTTATGGCTCGGCTCGTGGCCTGCTTCGGGTGAAAGAACTTCTTCAGGAAAGGCAGAACGGAGTTTCAACTCTTTCGAAGTGGCCAACCGGATGTGACCCTCCACATCACTTCCGAAGCAGACCCTGGCCTTTGGGCCGCGTTGCTGTGTGAACGGTCGTTCGAATTGGCTCGCTCCGCCCCCACAGGCGCCGGATTGGTAAGTGGGGCCGTTTCGGTCCTCCGACTTATCATGTCCCACTTGCTGCAGCTTTTCATTGAAGCTAATGCTTCTCTGTGCAGTTACGAGTGGAAGATAATGTAAGAAGAATGATGAAAGGCATCCTAATTTCCAACTGCAACTTGGCGGGTAAGGAAGGGAAAGTGATGGCAATGGGATGGGTTTTGAGGCTTAAGAAAACTCCCTACCGGTGCTCAGCAGCATAACTTCAAACCCCAGAGTGTCGCTTCCAATACGTCAAAACAGCCTCGGGACGCATGGAAAGGCCCCTTGAGCTATTTGGTGGGCTAAGGCGCTAGGGCTTGACAGATGCGATTCCGAAGGAAATGTGCCCAATTGTTTCGGAATCTGGTATTGTGCAAATTGTAACGGGCATGCTCAGAGCATAAATAACCGTAACAGGGTGGGAGGGAATTAGTTTGCATCGAGGAAGGAGTCTTCCCGGTTTCCCTTCAGTGCAATTGGGGTGCGTCACCGACGGGTGTAGTGGATGTGCCACCTTGCTTGCGTCCACATGCTACCCTTGCACACTGCAGACGTTCCATTGACCGACTCACCTGGGTAACCGAGCAGCTTAGATTTCAAGAACGACCCGTGTTCGAAAATAAAGAGGGTGGACACATCGGAGCGAACTCCTGTACGTGCAGCTATATCGGAGACGGGTGTTGCTATAGTGAAAGCACGTGCACACCCTGTCTACTAAACTTTTAGGTGTAAAAGCCTCTATGGCAACAGCACAGCGACATATGATCACCTTACAGGAGTTCGCTCCGATGCGTCCGCCCCCTTTACTTGGTGATTGGGATAAATAAACACCTACCCTGAAGCGTGTTTCTAGCGGTTCGCCTCCACAAAACCTTGAATTCCAGCTGTCTTATTCGCCCATACCCCTTACTGCGGCGTGTGTGGATCCAGACAGGGCATGGGTTTATTTATCCCTACTACGAGTATTACTACCTCTTACTCTTCCCCCCCCCTCCCCCCCTAAATAAATGTAACGGTGGGTCCAAGTGTAGGGGTTTTTTGGTATGGCAACTGGACCGTGCCGGGCTGGTTTTGCGGGGACCCACTGTTACATTTAATTGGGGGGGGGGGGGTTCTGGGCTGGCACAGACCAGAAAGTCAACAACACGCGCTTTTAATTGCCTTTCACACCCCTGCCTGTGGCGGTCTCGCTACATTTAATTCTCACAATACGTTGTATCCCAAGGGAACCAACCCCGGCATATGATAACCAAGCCTTAACATACCACAGACAGTGGATACCCCATATCGAATTTCCGATCTTACACTGGCTACCAAATATTGGAGGATTCAACAACCCTGTGTCTCTCTCATGTTCGCCACGTACGACTTCTTACAACAGCCAATAGTTTCAAATTTCCCCCTCCCCGTTTTGTTCTAGAACGGAACCCACCACATGGGAAGTGGGCTCGGCGGTTGAATTGCTAGTGCAGTTGTGCCTCATTCACACATGGCTTCACATGTACCTTAATTCCCCTCCAACACCTCATTGACTTCGAACATTTTTCTCTGGGAAGTTCAAACAATTCTCGACATCGACATATTCTAAACTTTCTTTTCTTTCAAACTTTGTCAATCGTTCGCCATGTCGACCGCCGCTGAGGAGAAGGCCGTTGAGGCTCCCATCGATACTGAAAAGAGCGTCAACTCTGCTTCCACAGAAGAGCACCAACACAGAGCTCAAAACATCGATATCGAAACCACCGCTAACTCAGACGGTTTATACGTCGTGAAAGACACGGACCTCGGTCTCAAACTCGCCAAAGATGGCAGCACAGTTCTGATTCCCCAACCATCTGACGACGATGAAGATCCTCTCAATTGGTCGTGGTTGAAGAAGCATAAGGCGTTCTTCGCTCTGCTTCTTCCATCCCTCCTCACTGATTGGGGAATGACATGGGGAACAACCATGTTCGAAGCCCAATCCGTCACCTGGGACATGTCAATCCCGGATGTTGCTCGCTCTATTAGCGGAGGGATTTTCTTGCAGGGTCCCGGTGGTATTTTGGCGGTACCTCTGATCCAGCGATATGGACGGTAAGTCTACTGGAATGAATTCCGTTTGCCAATTTGTTGCTAAGGACTGTAAAGTTTGCCTGTGCTGTTCTGGTCGCAGGTTCTAGGCTGTATTATGGTTATCGTTGCCACGTTTTCCCCCTCCTATGCTTGCTTCACCGCGTTCCGCACACTCCAGGGATTCGTTGCCACCTCGCCCCAAGTAATCAGTCTCTCAGTCGTGCACGATCTTTTCTTTTTCCACGGTAAGACAAATCTCTGAATCTCCCAGATCTTGAGCTGACCAATTTAGAACGTGCACGAAAAGTCAACATATGGGCATTCACATTCTTATTCGGCGCCTTCTTCGGCCCCATGATGTCCTCTTTTCTTCTCTCTAAAATCTCTTGGGAGCTGGACATGGGAGTCCTAGCAATCTGGTACGGCGTTTCCGCCATCTTGGTCGCAATCTGCGGCGAAGAGACTTTGTATGACCGCCAGAAAGGCGTCAAACCTACATCTGGAGCTTCAAGAATCTCGCTCTTGATCGGTATTGCTGGATGGAAGGCAAAGGGCCAGTCCAGTCTCACGACAGTGTCGAAGCATCTGGTCTCAGTCGGAATCAAGCCTCAGCTCCTCCTCCCATGTACGCCCCTTCCAATCTCATCTCAAATGATTTTCTGACATAGGTGACTAGGTCTCTTCATCCTTGTCCTCTTCACCTGGGCCATCGGCATCGTCACAACAGTAACGCAGTTCATCCGTCCTCCCCCCTACCTTCTCGATGACACGCACGCGTCACTCTTCTACTTCGCGCCCATCGTTGGAGGTATCGTCGGTGAATTTTTCGGCCATTTCTTCAACGACTTCCTCTCAAATCTCTACATCAAGACTCACAATGGGAAATACAGCCCAGAGAACCGCCTCTGGGGCGCGTATATCCCCTGCGCGTTTGGTATCGCTGCAATGGTGCTCTATGGCCAGACTCTGCAGAAGGGTCTGCCAGTCATTGGACTTGGTGCTGCTTGGTCAATGATGGTTTTCGCTGAGGTAGTGAGCACGACTGCCGTCAGCGCTTACCTATTGGACATCTTCCCTCATCATGCTGCATTGGCAAGTGCCTGGTTGAACTTTTGGAGAACGACTGGTATGTCCCCTCTCTCTCCGAACCTTCTTAGGAACTAACTGACATCGTACAGGTGGTTTCTGCGTCACATACTTCCAAACCCAATGGGTAGCCAAGTCCGGCGCTGCTGTGACCTTCGGCGTGCAAGGAGCTATCATCGCAGCCAGCTTCATCTTCATCATCATCACGCAAGTTATGGGCAGGAGCTGGAGATTGAAGTTCCTTCCTCCGGCGGCCGAGATCTAGTGGTCCAATCATCGTTCTATGTTCTGTGTGGTCTCGTTTGTATTTAGACCTTCTTTCCATGGCTTAGCAGCTCCGTTACTTGCTGGCAGGCGCTTGGGGTGCATCATTGACTGCGACAAATTGAGCAAAAGTATATACAATTGTAACTCGGGGTTTCAAAAAAAGGTTTTATACCTATATATCGCAGAATGCCATCGTGATAATTCATTTCTGCCCTCGGAGTCTCAGAAAAGGAGCTTCAAGACTCGGATATTTAAGAGATGTGTTTCATCCTTCAATAATTTTATATGCTTTAGTTGACGCTATAGATAGACTCTCGGCACTCGTTTCCTTGAATCTGAGTTCGCGATCTGAGAAATATGCTTCCGCAGAGTTCACATGGAACAAATTTAGGAAACCTCTCGCAATCACTTAAGGTTGCTATCTAAGTCATCGCTCCATTATGCGTTTTGATTTGAATCAAAAAGATCTAAGAATGTTCAAAAGCCAATTACCAATTTGTACTCTCTTGTTCTATTTGCTGCGGGCTGGTCTTGAAGTTCTTTCATGACCAGTTTTCCCTGGACAAAACTTGGCGCGCGGGGCCGTGTGCAAACAAAGGGAAAATCGGGAGCACACATGAAGCAATCGCCCGTCGTGGCAAAACACCATACGAAATGGAACAAGTCTCAGAAGAAGGACTTTAAATTTTGTTTTGTCTGAGCCGAGTTTGTGCGAGTATTTAAGGACGCGAGTAGGACAGGAGGTTTGGTACCTACACACTTTTGCTATACGTCTCACCAAGAAAAGATATCCAGACTCACACAATCCATTTCACAATGAACTTCCAGGAATTTTGTGTCCCTGCACTTTGCCTACTTGCTGCATTATGGGTGTACTTTAGGTTCTTCCATACCAACCATGGTAACAAACCCCTCCGTACTCTCCGTGACCTTCAGCAATGCCGAATTGCTCTGCGGTCCTCAACACTTGCCTCTCGAGCGGCACCAAACCAAAGGCTTGCTGAAGTATTCAACATTGACAACGCTCTCACCACAACGAATCGAGTGTACCACGATAGCATCGTACAAGGCACCCGACTCAAGCTCCAAACGCCCGATGATGAATGGAACACACTTGTCACTTTCGCCCTCAACAATCTTCGCCACACGATTTTACCGAACCAGGTTATAGAGGATGGTCAGAAATTCGTTGTGCTAGTTCCAGTTGTACAATCACTTGTCTTACGAGTCGTACTGCTGAAATTCTTCCCGAAAATCAACAAACCATCAGAAGACGACGTGCAATACATTACAACATGTATCAACTCGCTCTGGTTAGCAACCAAACACAATCCATCACAAGCAGACTCCAATCTGCTCAAAATGAAACGGCAACTCGAGGTTCGACTCCGAAAAGTCTTCGGAAACTCAGCAGATGAGCAAATCAGCGGCCGCGTGAGTCCGTTGAACACCATCATCCCCGCGTACGAAAGTATTTGGCGCGTGGTCCTCCGCTGCTTCCTTGAAGTGCGCTTTCGCAAATGCGGAAACGAGATTGAAGAAAGTATTACGAAACGCACGTACAAAATGATTTTCAGCCACTTTATGAGCCATCCCAACCCTTCACTCTTCGAGAGTTCATTCCAAGATACGCATATCTCAGTCAAGCACATTGTGAACGAAGCCCTGCGTCTCTACCCTCCAACTCGAAGGATTCACCGTCAGTTGGAAAACGAGATGGTGAAGATTGATGTTGAATGGTTGCATCGTGATCCTGTTTCCTGGGGACGGGATGCAGAGGAGTTCAAGCCGGAGAGGTGGGTGGGTGTGCTTTTGAAGGGTGTCGATGGGAAGATGGCATTCACTCCATTTGGACTAGGTGAATTGAGTTGCCCAGCTAAGAAGTTTGCACCGATGATGATTGGGATTTTGGTTGGTGCTTTGATGTGCGGTGTTGGTGAAGGATGGGAGTTGGTGGATGAGGAGCTCAGCGGTGATGTGCTTGGTACAAAGGTGTTGGATGGTGGGAGAGAGGCCTATGAAGGGCTGCGGTTGAGAAGATTCAACGATGAGGAATAGGTACAAGCGAAGATCGTGATTGGGACCTGTTGCTTCTCCTTTGTACTCTAGAATTTGGCGAATCATTGAAATTACGTTCTTGTTGACGAGATTACGCACGGCTGGTCCGTATCTCCTGGATGACAGAAAAAAAAGCACTCATTTTCAATGTCCCAGGCTCAACAAAAAAAAGTGTGTTTCACAGTCTTTAGCTGCCAAAAATCCTATGTATACGTAGTTATATATACGCTTCCTCTATGCAAAGCTCATACTTGGTAAAGCTTAGTACTTGTCCTCCTTATTCTGTTTCTATATGTCGGCTTCTTGAAATTATAGCTAGTATACCGGCTCAAATGTGACTCTCCCGTACAAACGTATGATATAATTGTCTTCTATGCACTAGTCAATGGGCATCTTCCTCCAAATGTAGCTTAATTCAGGTCTGCTAGTTCCTTCCTCCGCTCTTCATTTCTCACTCCGTGCGTTACCTCCTAAGGGGCAGACAATAGAGGACGCCTCCTCCTTATTACTTCGTCACCATTGCCGATGGTTCTATAGCCCCTTGCTAGCGATTCCCTCAACTTGAACGTTGTATGTGGTGCGGCTTTTTAACTACTCGTGGGTTATATCTCCCTACCATGACTGGATGTACGGCTCGTTGTTGGCATCGAAGTAGGAATAGATTTATGATATATCTAGCGAGTAGCTCCCTTAGGCTCCAAATCGATGTATGCAGTCGTCGATTCGATTCGGTACCGGCCATGTCTATACCCTAGTTCAAAGTAGACTCCGTTATGTGTTATGGCAGTATTTGGATCCTAAGAACCGACTATGTGTGTATTGTGTGTATGTGCCATTTTATAGTTTTCACGACTCGAGAAAGGCTCTATAGGGTAGTATTTTTTTTGGGTAAAATAAGTATCTATCATATCTCAAGGTCGAGCATATGCAAGAAGTTAATCCCTACTATGGAAAACACAAGGGTATTCGCGCTAATTGACAGAAGGGGATAGCGTACGAGTAAGCGATAGTAGGTCTCAGCTACTGACTCCCTATTCATCGATTGGGTGACTATTGGAGGACGTGAAATTGATGACCGGCAGATCTTGACATGCTCGGAATAATCCCCGCGTACAGAAAACTGGGAGTCGCAAATAAGTTAATGCAATGGGGAGTGGGGCAGGCTGATGAGGACAAACTTTGAATGTTTCGTGGATGTGAGTGATTATGGAAGACCTGTGTACGAGAAATTTGGGTTCTTTCCAGAAGAGCGGTTTGTGGTACCAGGAGCTGGGTTTAATTGCCGAACTTATATCAGACCGGCCAAGAAGTAGCAAATAAGCAACTTTAGAATATAGCTCATGGAACCCAGGCAGCGGTGCTTATCCGTAGTTGTAGCCGAGATTCCATTTCCAAGGCCAAGCTCTCCAGCACTCTTCCCAATTCTTACACTCTCACTTCACCCCCATCTTGTGAATCGGCTCAACCCAGGCCTCGTTTGCCTCCATCTCCGCCGCAATTCTCATTTATTCTTCAACAAAATATGTCCCACAGTGAAAGTCGCCATATCTATACCCTGGATCATACTCCATCATTTCAACAGCAGCTCTCGCGTGCCCAAGTGCCATTCTCGTTCCATCCTCACCGCAATAGTTGATGAGGTCATTCGAATGATCTCTCCGCTCTATCCAAGGGCTTACTTCAGGTCCGGCAAACCAGACGTTACCAGGTAGTGCGGCGAGGGTGTTCATTGCGCCTTGGAAAGCGCGGACAAAGGTTTCGTTGAACTCCCAAGGAGCTGATATTTGGCATCCTTCATCGTACCCAGTATCGGTGTAGTTGAGCTTAACGCCTAGAACTGCTTCTGTGGCGAGTGTGAGGTTTTGGAGGACCGAGGTGAAGATGGGAGTGGGGTCGGGGGTGAACGGAGGCGGTTGACCGTACTTTCTAGGTAGAAGTTTTCGTATGTTGAGAAACCGATCCAGTCATTCCAGCTCCAGTCGGGATTCCAGTCGGTTTCTGTATAGTAAATTGATCTAGATCACAAGTGCTAATACAGGAAGGCCAAGCTTGGAATCTGACACTGACCTATTCACTTTTAGCTCTTGCTGGATCTGCGCCATCATGTTTTATTGCATGGCACTAGGGCCCCCCTATTGCCTGTTTGTTTGTTTATTTATTTGTTTTATTCATACTCCGTTCTAGGCCTAAAAAGGCCCATACGAGGACTAGCTATATGAGTTCTAACCTCAGGTACTGTTTTCGCTGACTAATCCACTTCTTGTTAATAAGAAGACGCGTACAAAAGAGATCCTGGGCTTCAGTAAACAGCTCTAAAACCCTGTAGGAAAAAGGAGCTAAAGAATGCCCTCTCCTGTCCTGATATGATACCTCACCCCCTCCCTCTCTTTCTCTCTACTCCTTATCCTTCGCTATCCTGGCACCTCCCTATAATACATAAAAGAACAGATAGCTAGGTAATAATATATATAGGGTATGGTACCTCCTAATAAGGGCAAATAGTTAGCTTACTTATAGTCTTCTGCCTCGAGATACTATAGATATACCAGGTATATATATAAATGCTCTGAGGTTCTATAAATTAACTTAATGTATTAAGGCTTATAGAGATACTCGTAAAGGTACTTATAAAGGTACTTCTTTTAAAACTACCCTTCGAGCTATTTTACTTACTTAAAAAAGGTAGGCTAAAGGCTTATTCAAGAACATTATATAAGGGCTCGTTTAAGGAGTCGAATTGCGTCTCGCTATATATATATCTGAATTTTAATATCTTTTAACGAGTATATAAGCGTATAATATAATGTAAATTCTCTATTATAGCCTTATAAGGTTAGCCAGAAGCTCTATAATATAAGATAAAGTAAGGTAAATAGGGTATTTCCGAAAATTTGCTTTATCGTTTTAATAGTATTTTTGTTTCGCTCCCCTAGTGCCCTCCTAGTACCCTATACGTGGTATGTCACGTGTTCAGGGGCTTACAAGCCTGCTAATAAAAGTCTATAGTTTTAGCGATTTTTTCAGGCCTTACTAAACCAAAGTCATTAACTTTACTTTATAATAATTAAATAACTATTAATAATACTATCTTAAGACTCGAAAGTATTAAGTAAAAGAAAGTATATTTAGTTTTAAGAACTTAGTCTATAAAATTATAATATAAATTATAATTATTAAAATTCTTTTTAGGGCTGTTTTATTAGCGAAATACGCTAAAACCACAGACTTTTATTAGTAGGCTTATTAGCTCCTGGACATATTTCGCTCCTATATAAGCTCTCCGGAGCACCTAATTTATACTTTTTAGAGAGCATATTCTATACTTGTATTATGTTTCTATAATCTTTAGATTCATTTACGACCTCAATATTAAAGAGCGTCCCGTTACGAGCTTGGGCTACTAATACTCTATTAAAGAGTTAATAATATTTGATTTACTAGTCTTTATTTAGATAGAACTTATATAATTTCTATACTTATATAAAATATAATAGCTTAAACAGGAATATAAGCTTAGCTCTAGTAAGGTTTCTTTAAGTAAAGCTTATTATATATATTATTCTCGGCTTTTTTAAAACTCAGCGGATTATAGTATTTCCTATTCTATCTTATAATACTTCCCCTTATATATTCTTCTTTTAATAAGTAATTATAGTAGCTCTAATTATAAAGTTTCTCTAAATAAGAGAAAAATAATAGTATATCTTCGTCCCCTAAATATTAAGATCTGTCTATTTCTTTATACTTAACCTCTTTAGTACGGAATTCGGGAATTAGGATTAAGGTTAGTATAGCGAGAACTAAGAGAACCAGGGTAAGAAGATAGAAAGTTATAATAATATTGAATTTGAGTATTAGAGATATTATTTCCTCCCGTATTTTTCTATTAGGGAAGTCTTGGGATCGAGGAGAAATGTTATTAATACAGATCAGATTCTGTGATCTGTCCATACGGCTGCTTGATCCACGGCCGAGGCTACATAAAATCTCACAGGGGTCAGGACTTGCTCCTAAAGCCATAACCACTGCAATTTATGGCATGGGTGATATCCAAAGAAGACATACGAGAAAGTGTTTAGCCCTGTCGTCCTTGCATCTTGAGTGCAGAATTACCAAGGAGGTCACGTGATACAATATATTCTTAACTTTTCGATTCGCTCCTCCGTCTTAGCTTCACTAGCTTATAGAGAACGCAGACCCATGAATTCTTCTCCCGCTATGAGGGCTCATGTTGGAGTTATACGTTTTTAAACCTTGATTTAAGGTACTGTGGAAGAATGAAGCAAGTTCATACAGCCATCAAGCCCTTGGAATATTTATTGTCTCTCTTCTTTGCCTCCATTTCTGGCCCTTCACCATCTGTAGCACGATTAGTCCTAGAGCAACCAACATTACCCCAGACCAGACAGTAAATGTCCAACCAATCCCTATTTTATTCACAGTTGGTAGAACCGAGGCCGTTCCACCTGCTCCCATCAAGCACCTTACCAAGTTCAAGGCTGCAGTTGCAGACGCACCTTTCTTGGGGAAAATATCGACCATGAATGTTGTGGTAATGCCGATAATGGACGTTGAGGCCCAACCCAGGAAGAATGTGCTGATGATAGGGACGGACACATGAACGTGATGTTCCATCGTCCAACCAAACACCAAAGATGCAGCAATTTCCATCCCAGCCCAAAGCCACAACGTTCTCAATCTCACTCGTTCCAGTGGAAAGCCCTCTGCGGTTCCATCGTAGGACTTCTTGAATCGTTCATAGTCATAATCGAGAAATTTGCCGGTCGTAAGTGTCCCAGCAACGCATGCAACACCGTTGGCAATGTATGTCAGCCCGATCTGTATCTCGCTCATGCCATATGTGGTGCTGAAGAGAGTTGACATAACGGCAACAGTCATCTGCCACACTGTGTAGTATATAGCAAGAAAGATTATGACGAAAGTGACTTCAAGGCTGAAGATGATTTTCAGTGGGCCCAGGAAATCTACCGAGAGCTGCTTCCCCACCGATGTCGTAGATACAGACCGCTGCAAAGCTGGCTCTTCAGTCATGGAGCGTCGTCGGCGTTGGATATGTGCTAATAAAGAATTTGAAATTCCTTTGGCTGGGACTGAGCCATTGCCAACTTTGCATCGCAATGTCTCTGGGAGCACCACGGCGAGGAGGATCAAGACTGCGCCAGCGTAGATCGTCAGGAACCAGAAGATGGCTCTCCATCCCAAGGTCTGTGAGAAAATCCCTCCAAGGATCGGCCCCACAGACAGTGGTGCAAGCAGCCCAGCTTGAAAGACCCCCATGTATCCTCCTCTCTCTGCCCGCGTGGTGATGTCTCCGACAACTCCTGCCCCGATTGCAATGGTGCTAGCACTGCCTGTACTCTGAAGGCATCTGAGAATCACCAGTTGGTAGTAATGCTTCGTTTCTGCTAGCCCAACACAGGCACCGATGAAAATGATGAAGGTGATGATGTACGTAAGTCTTCGACCGTGAACATCGGCCAAAGCTCCCCATATGCTTGGAGCGAGACCCTGCAAGATCATATAAGAGGTGACTGTCAAGTTGATGAGTTCCGGTGTGACTGAGAGGTCTCTGGCAATGGCAGGTATTGCAGGAAAGTAGATGTTTGAGGCAAATGCGGAGAAGGTGGCTGCGATGGAGACGATGGCGATTATTAAGGTTTTCTGCTCGGAGGTGAAGATGCTGTACGGGATAGCTGGAGATGTTGAGATAGTCTGCAGCCCATTCTCTTCGTCTGCCTTTTCCTTCTCCATACTGACTGCTGGGGGAGGGTATGCATCTAGAACTGGCTTGAGGTGTTGATGAAACTTAAGTAGTTAAGGTGGGGATTGATTGGCGGGCCGATGCCGCAGTGTTCGGAGTTCCGGCACGCAGGGATGGTCACCATGCCTGCCTGATGCGAGGCTAGAACATCATCGCAGTTTCCTCAGTGAGCTGGTCCGTCCTGAATAAATATCCATATCTTGAATTATAATATTTTAGTCATGGAGAAAAGTGTGTGTAAGTAACAGTAAACTTCCGCTAACACGCTTACACCCCTTTTTATGATCGCTTAAATGTGAAGAGCCGGATTCCATTGTATTTCGGAAATCCGCCACAATACAAATTCTCACGCCCTCGAAACTTCCTTGGCTAGTGTAATTGACTGAATTGGCATGTTTCCATAATTTGAAAATCTTAGAAGTATATCTGCAAACAAAGTTAGTGGAGTAAGTAATGACTTTAATTACAAAGGTCAAGTTTCACAGTCCATCTCCTCACACTAAACGAGTGTGGCCATTCTTGAAATCAGTGGCAATCTTTCAGCACGAGAAGCGAAATTATCTCGCCCCTACCCGAAGAGCATCCGCATCACCTTTCTCTCCTTATGCGTAAGTAACTGGCATGTTGCCAGGACGGCTGGAAAGCCTTGTAAAGTTCACATTAGCATGGCAAAGAACGAGACTAGAGGATCATGGGAGTACTTACATCGTGTGACTGCCTCGTTGACGTGTGGCTGCGAGACCATGCAGGTGTTGGCCTGAGCAGCAGTTTGGGTCTTCATTCCCTTGCATGCAGCACCGGAGCAACGCTCATCCATAGCGACCTGCAGTGCGGTGCCTTTCCAGCCGAAGAGGTAATCGCCGTGCCATCCGGATCTGGTGCTGTGTATATTGTTAGCTATATCCGATGACTATAAGTTAAGAAACAAGCGGTAGCTAGAATGAGAGAAGAAAAGGGCTTACCCATCACCTATGCTGTAAACTAATGGGTTCGATCCATCAGCAGGCCAGATACTTTTGTCATTGAACTGACTCGTGTCCCAACTTGATGTCCCCTATCTGAAACTATGAACAAGTCCGCTCTCCTGAAAACATCACGTGGCAGCGATTCTAACATCCCAAAGATACTGGAATGACCACTACCCACCACTTCTTCGAGGCTCTGAGAACGCGGCGTCAAATATCGGCCATTACAGGCCAACAATCCTCCCCCTGGTTTCCTTGGTGATGCGTTCGGCAGAAAATTTGTCTGTGGGAAGGAACTCATAATTTGCATCATTGGCTCCTCTCTCTAGATTGATGTTTACAAACTTCAGTTCTTCCTTAACTTCTCCACCAAACGTTGGTTATTCCAGCCGAAGTCTACCACTCCCGAGTCCGTGGCTTCGCTCACGGAGCACAGTTTCTCTGCTACAGTCGGCAAGTTCAGCGCCAACTCAGCCACTCTCCTCTTCAACTAGCTCTCCGACCCGAACATCATTGAGCTCGCAAATGTGCTTTGGGTTTTCTTTGTTTGTAATGTTCTTGGTGCGGTTAGTACTTGGTTTTTTTATTCCCGAGACGTAGGGGAGGAATGGGGATGTGGTGGATTTCCAGGCGTAGCATGAGGTGGCCAGGGAGAAGGCTTCGAAAAAGGAATGATTAGATGTTGGAGAACCAGGTTGAGCTTGTTGTTCTCTTGTATTTCTGTGCTTTCCATTCACTCGTGGCTGGATTCCCAAAATTGTTGAAGCCCAATGCCAATACATTTCACTCCCAATGTTATTATGTCCATGCACAAGAATGTAGAGTATCTCGTAACTCAAAAGTTCTTTTTTTGAGAATTGGCCGTCTCATTCAGAGGTCCACCAGCGTTTCGGATGGTAGCCGTGTGTCTATACAAAAGATTCTTCGTTCCTGACAATTATTCGTTCCCTGTGCATGCAATAGCATTGAAGGGGTAAACACACGTAGCATCTCAACGCAGTCTCTGAGCTCATTTGGAATGATTGTTCAGCCATATGCTATATAATTCCTCAAAACGCCGTAACGGAGCGACGAGCTTATCCTCCATTCAGGCAACGAAGCTCTTCGAAGGAGAAATACTAGAGATTGCAGATTCCGAACTTAGGTATAGAATAGCGATCCCATAGATCTCCCTGCTGCCCAGATCCAGGCGTCCACAAACAAATATTGCCAAACAAAATCATAAGCCTGGCTAGTGGAATACCTCGGCTCAGAAAGAGGGGTCGTCGGTGGAAATACAGGATTAGTGTTGATGCATGATATTAGATAGGCCGTAACAGTCGCGGGCCTTATACGTGTCCATTATCGCAAGCTTGACAACGAATCCGACTTGGCCCGCAATTATTGCTCGCTTCGCTGTCAACTTCACCGCTTCTCCGGGTCTCAAAACCCTTTGGCGGTTCATGTGATCAATGATACGCTCACCATGGGGGAGTTCAGCCAGTAGTTGTAGTTTTTGAAGAATGGGATCTGACATGGCTGCCCCATTACCATCAAGTTCAATTTTCGAGCGAATCTTGCCGTTGATTGTGTGAATTTCCACCCGGAATTGTGTTAGTCGGTGACGATGCTTGAAGGAAAGGAACCAAGCCCTAGGCTCCGAATAAACATCTCTAAGCCTGAATACAACCCTGCCCTCAAGTTCCCCCGCGACTGGCGAAATTGGAGACCACGGTACACAAAGAGATTCAAGACGATATCCGGCTTGAATTATATCGTTAAAATCTACAAGACAAGGAGGGAGGCAAAAGAAGGTATGCATCGAGGATCCGGGGCGGAGTCGATTATCCGGCTGGATTATGTGCAGGAGAGTCGGGCGCGGCTTCGTAGCCGAGAACATAGCCCATAGTGGGTTAGTTCCCGTCAACAACTCCAGATGCGATCGGTAGAATCGTCCAAGAGGTCCACCTTCCGCGTTAGTCGCCTCCGTAAGCCAGATGCCCAACAGGCCGTCTTGGGAATCATGTTTGCATTGCAAACAAGCAAATCGATGACTGCTCCCAATTAGGGAGCAACAAGGAAGACTTATACGCAGCCCTAGATTTGTCATCTCGAAAGAGGATTCGCCTTCAACTGCCAATCTACGAAAGTTGCCAGAGTGGTCAAAGTGATCCGGGGTGGTGGCCAAGGCGCCCCGTCTTCTTCCAAGCACATCGGGAGAAATCCAGGCAAATAAAGAGTGGTCGGTCGTGGTCTTCATAATCTCAAGCTGAAGTCGAAAAAATGCATTTTCTCCTTCTCCATATATCAAGGGCATTGAGACCCCAAAGAGTCCCATGAGAGAGTACGCTCTATCCTCCAATCTTGTGGTGTGGCGACGGGCAGCCCAACACATGATTTCTGCGACACAATGATCCCTCAATGAGGTGTTCATCAACAACAGTCCAACTGGGACTCCGGTGATGTTTTCGATTTGCTCTGCCAAGCTTGCCCTCGATCCGATCTCGTTCCAGTATGAATCAAAAAACAATACATCAGCAGGTGCAATTAATTCTTGCAGCGTCCAGCCTCTTTTGAACCACCGGCTGGCGGTAAACCGAAGACCATTTGGTTTGACATCCTCGAGATAGGCGTAGCATGTAATGGCGTTTTCATACCAGCGAAACATCGAGTTAATGGCTTCTGATAACTCCGTGCTGTTTGTTTTATCGATGCAACACGTATCGATCCAAACGTACTTGAACCCAGCGTCCAAAGCCCTTGCACAACAGTCTTTGATCTTCTTGAACCCAGCCTTCTTTGAGATGGCCTGTCACGGCCTGGACAAGCTGTGGAAGTGGAAATGTATGTGTTTTGGTATGAATATGTATGAATGATGGTGCCCTAATGGCGGTGAAGAAGCTATATATACGCCTGTGCGTAGCACGTGACATGGCCTTATGCGGGCCTCTGATGTCTTGGAACGACACTTCTTCAGCCCCCCAGGTATGTGAAAGGATGGCATAATATGGGGTGTTATCGTCAAAAAATGTGGAGAGGGCTAACGAAGTGGTCTCTAGTAGCCACATCTTGTCTTGCGGTGTTCTCGTGATTATGGAGAAGGAGATGAAGGTAGTGAGGAGCCGAAGTGAAGATAGGCAGCAGGCTTCACCGCCTTGCTTTATAGCGGTGTGCGAAACAAGCTTTAAAATCGATTTTTAGCGAGAATACGAACAGTGTGTCTGGGGCAAAATCTACGGAAAGCCGTACCCGTTCGTACCTTCCACAAGTTACCACTGGTGGTTCGTGAAAGCGATCTGGCCATACTAGCGACTTGGCAAGTATTTTACATAGTAAATTTGTATAGGAGGTACTTCTGGTTGGCTGGTCCGTGCATGAAGTTTAGCGAGGAACACCAATTTGGTGGTGGCCAAGTCGCTAGTATGGCCAGATCGCTTTCACGAACCACCAGTGGTAACTTGTGGAAGGTACGAACGGGTAAGGATCAAGTGATCAAGCGATTTTCGACTTCGGTTTTCGACTTTTGATATACGACCTGGCACGTGCCACCCCACCAAAAATCGCAAACACCCACATGTCACGCCCATATACTATACCCTCTCCCTGTGCCTCTATCACTACTTAAATATTTACTCTCTTTAATTCTTCTCTCTCTCTCTCTCTCTCTCACTCTCTCTCTAAGTATAAGGGTAAGAGAGGGGGCTTATAGGGGGAAAGGTGGAGGAATAGAGACAAAGCAAGGGAACTTGGCCAGAAATTCATATTACTAAATTTTTAGTACCTATAGCTTATAATTTAGCGATTATATCCCTCAAATTTAGCGATAAGCAGCCTATAATTATAGGGCGTCCTTTTTCTCGTAATATATGTGCCTCGAAGCTCACTTTTCAATTTTCGCTTTTCACTTTTCACTTGCTTACTTGCCCTTCTCATCCCCCCTCCCTCTCATTCCCCCTCTCCCCCTATCCCCTCTCTCCTAGCCTTATATTTATAAATAAAAATTAAAGAGAGAGAGAGTAAATATTTCAAGTAATAATAGAAGTATATAGAGACAGGGTATAGTATATAATATATGAGTGTTTGCGATTTTTAATAAAGTGAATCAAAAGTTGAAAACCAAAGTCGAAAATTAATTAATTATTAAATTCTTATAGCTTTCCGTAAAAATCACGATTTTATAATTCTTTAACTATAATATCAAATATTCTCTAAATTATAAGAGCTCTTAGAATATTAAATTTTAATATATTATTATTAATTTAAGCTTAATAGTTTTATTTTTAAATAAGTAATAGTAAAGTTATTTAAGAAAAGGCAAAATGCGATTTTTTTAGTCTTATATAGCTTTATATCTTTTAATTTTTTTCTTTTTTCTTTTTAAAATTATCTTTTACTTAATAACTTTTTACTTATTTATTTAAAATAAGAGCCTTATAATATAAATTAATTATATTGTATTTAATTTTAATATTTGAAGAGTTTTTAGATTTTAAATTATTTTTAAATATATAATTAATAAGTTTAATAAAATTCCTATATAAAACTAATAATAAAATTGCCCTTTCTTAATAACTTTTTAATTACTTATTTTAAATAATAGCCTTATAATTCCAATTAATTATATTATATTAAAATTTACTAATTTAAGAAGATTTATAATTTGAATTATTTTCGAAAGTATAATTAGTATTTTTAATAAAAATTATATATAAAACTATTAATTTACCTAACTACATATAATAGTAAACAACTACCGGGCTTGGACACTAATACTATTAGGGATCTGAAGATGGGCAGGCATTCTATCATTCGATCAACTTACTTCTTAATCTGGAGTTGTGGTTATTGAGTAATTTGCGATTCAGTAATATTGGGTCATGCGCAACGCGGCTTCAGACGCGATTTCCAAAGCTCGGTAAAAAAAAAGGGGGGGAGTTTTAAAGCTAGTTTCGCACGCGGCTGTACTGCCTCCAATCGAGGATCGCTTCAATGAAGCACACAGCCACAAAAGACGTTCCTTTACGCCCCGCCCACAATTGCCGTTCCGGCTGAGCAAATTATCGAGTTATGTCAGAGCGCTCTATAGAAAAGAGAGTGAAAAGTCACAAAGTTATTTGATATAGCTAAAAAAAACCAAAAATCTAACCCTACACCGCAACCCGCCTCGAGACCCTATCCCAAGCTCACTTCCCTTCATATCTATTTCCACCTCTCTTCACAACTTATTCTCACAACCTTCCCCCCAAATCTAATAAAAAATAAATAGGGAATTATAGAAAGAATTTGCAGGCGGCCGGGGTCGAGCCAGCTTCCTCACAGTACTGTAGTTCGGACACTAAACATAGCTTACCCGCTCGCGGTCATATTCCGAGCAACGGGGGCTATATCTAATGTTTCCTGTTCGCTCTACCGTTGAGCTGCATCCCCTATTTTGAAGTTGAATTTAGAGAAACTTGCTTATTTTGATATGTGAGGGGTAAGGGAGGTGCGAGTGAATGGGTTGAGCGGTGAGGATGAGGATGCGGGCTTAAGCGAGCGAGGATCGGGGTTGAGTGCTGCATGTGGGTTAACTTTCCTAGCTTTGAACGAAAACTAGTTATTAACAATTTCATATCAATGATACAGCCTAGAGAATTGCAAGTCCCACTTGAATATTTATTCCTTTACGTGTGAGTAAAAATATTCTCGACGAATGGCTCCGGGAACTGGCATGATTCTCATGTCTTTAAATCTTCTAAACGAGTAAATTTTTGAGAGAGATAATTACTCCGTAATGAACGCGTTAAGGCAAGACAAGTCTTTTAGCACTTCTGCGGTCAGATCCATTTTCTTGTACTTTTGCAGTTGTTAGAGTTGGGGTAAATCCAGGCACGCGGGGTTTGCAGATCGTTTTGTCGGGGTTCATCTCAGGGGTCGGTAGGCAGCGCAGCGAGTTTACTTGTGTGCTCCACTCGTGTGTAGGATAAAAAACCCCTACCCTGAAGTCTGTTTCTAGCACGTCCGCCTCCACAAAACTTTAAATTCCAGCTGTCTTATTCGTTAGTACCCTGTCTTGCGGCGTCTATGGATCCAGGGCATGGGTTTATTTGCCCAAGTCACCAAGTACCAGGTGAGTTATAGGGGTTTAAACAAGGACTTATTAAGTTATTTCTACCTGATTTTTGACTTAAAAGAATATCGACTTCCTAACCTCCAGATAAAACTAATTGTATAACGCTTTAATAATAGTCTAAATATAGTTTAGAAATAATTTAATTAGGGAATTAGAGTTAGTCTTTAGTTTATAAGAGAGCTTAGATTCAAGAATTAAAATTTGAGTTAAAAGTCTAAGAAATAATAAAAGATTCTTGCCTAAAAATACTTTAAAAATAGTATTTAAGTTATATATTATATAAATATAATTAATATATAGCAAATATAATAAATAAAGTTTATAATAATAATATTAATTAATATAAATTATATTACTTAAAAGTATTATATATTTATAATAATTAATTCTTATACTCTTATTTTTAATATCTTTAATATTATAAGAATTATAAAATATATAATTAAAATTATAAATTTTTAATACTTTATATTTTCTTTAATAATAATTCTTAAAATTAAGTTTAAATTATAACGGCGGGATTAATATAATAGTCAAAGGCTCAAAGTTCAAAGAATCTCATATATTAGAAAATACTAAGCTATAAAAAAAAGTAGAGAGGATGCCTCAACCTTTAGTATTATTCCGCCCAAGTAATTCTGGCTTAGATTCGTTTTGTACCTGTTTCTGATATCCTATTCTTAGTAGATTATGCCCTTATACCAGCCATTATATAAATTATATAAAGTAAATTTATAAATTTTTAAGAAACCTTATAAGTTCAAGTTTAATATACTATTTATTACACACATATGACTTTTTTAAAAAGTTTTCGCGTTTTATATAATTAATATATATATATTATATTTTTTAAAATACAATTATTATTTAATTATAACCCTTATTAAACCCGGTATTAAATAAATTCTGTTCGTATAATTCTATTTTATAATTATATGACACAACATTAATTAATTTAGGTTATAAGTAAAAATTGTTAAAGGTGTAAAAGCCGAACTGTTTTGTCGGTGTTGTGTCGGGTCGGACCGACTGTAGGCTCTTCAAGGGTCTGGAACTGCCAAGACTCAAGCTGCATTTTGCCAGAAGTTTCCTATACAAGTAAAATAGACCACGAGACAGGAGGTAAACCCTCTTGATGGGAAACTAGCGCAGTCAGCCGAGTACGCGTGGCCATCCAGGTATCTCGCGGTCTCACGTGCTTTTGCCGAGCCACCTCCAACTCATCAAAATCCGAGGATCTGAGGATCTGGGGCTTACAATCGGCTCGATCGAATCGATCACAGACTTTCTTTTGCCAACCTGAGAAGCCAGGGCCAGACTCCACCTAGCTGCCTTCTTGATAATCAAATCACTGATCTCGATTCTGGCCAAGTCCGCTTAATAATTGCCGTATAAATTTGCACCCACGGTGCTATTCCGCTCCTTGTCGGACCCTGCGTTCTCGGACAAGTGGGGGAGGGGAACAGCACATGTTACGCCACGGCTAACAAGATGACGAGATGATCAGTGCAAGTTGTAAACGGCTGCCGTAGTCTTCGTCTTGGAATTTATCTGTGCCAACCATGCCTTGTCCGCGTAGCCCTCAGAATGGCACGCGTAGATCCAGTCCTTCGCAACCCTGGCGGGGTAGCCCGGCCGCTTCGCACAAACCCGAGACTCGATTGCTTGTGGGGCTGGCAGTGATTGGCCAATCAGGAAGCGGCCATTAGCTGAGCTCTTCTTACTCCAACTGTTTGAGAGTGGGGAGGCGAATTTAAAAAGGGCGGGGTAGTCCCGACAACCGTCGTTCTCCTCCTCCAATTCTCAGGCAATTGTTGCTTCTTACCTTTGCAACAACAACACCACCACCACGACTTCGAGCACACAGTCCACGCATTGAACCCGTCACAATGGCTGAATGTCCGATCAAGCACTCCAACGTCGGCGGCGGCGGTCAGCGCAACCGCGACTGGTGGCCCAATGACCTGAGACTGGGCATCCTCCGTCAACACACCTCGACTACCAACCCGCTGAAGGACTTCGACTATGCCGCCGCCTTCAAGAGCCTCGACTATGAGGGGTTGAAGAAGGACCTGCACGCTCTGATGACCGACTCGCAGGATTGGTGGCCTGCCGACTTTGGACACTACGGCGGCCTCTTTGTCCGAATGGCATGGCACGGCGCGGGCACGTACCGTGTCTTCGACGGCCGTGGAGGCGGTGGAGAGGGTCAACAACGATTCGCTCCCCTCAACAGCTGGCCTGACAATGTCTCTCTCGACAAGGCGCGCCGTCTGCTGTGGCCCATCAAGCAAAAGTACGGCAACAAGATCTCCTGGGCGGATCTCTTCCTCCTCACCGGCAACGTGGCAATCGAGTCCATGGGCGGCAAGACCTTTGGATTCGCAGGTGGACGTGCTGATACCTGGGAGGCTGATGAGTCTGTCTACTGGGGTGGCGAGACTACATGGCTGGGCAACGACGTTCGCTACTCAGATGGCAAGGCAGGCCTTGAGGGCCATGGTGTAGTCGATGGCGATGAGTCCAAGAAGTCACACTCTGATATCCACAGCCGCGATTTGGAGGAGCCGGTCGCAGCTGCACACATGGGTTTGATCTATGTCAATCCCGAAGGTCCCGACGGCAAGCCCGATCCGGTCGCTTCGGCACGGGACATCCGAACTACCTTTGGCCGTATGGCGATGAACGATGAGGAGACTGTTGCATTGATTGCTGGCGGTCACTCCTTTGGTAAGACACACGGCGCTGCTTCTGCTGATAATGTCGGTGTGGAACCAGAGGCTGCTAGCATCGAGGCACAGGGCTTTGGCTGGCACAACAAGTACAATTCTGGCAAGGGTCCCGATACCATCACCAGTGGTTTGGAAGTCATCTGGACCAAAACACCTACGAAGTGGAGCAATGATTTTCTCGAGTACCTCTTCAAGTATGAGTGGGAGCTCACCAAGAGTCCGGCTGGTGCAAACCAATGGGTTGCCAAGAACGCTGAGCCGTTCATCCCCGATGCATTCGACCCCAACAAGAAGCACTTGCCAAGAATGTTAACCTCCGATCTTGCGCTCCGCTTCGACCCTGCGTACGAGAAGATCTGCCGCAGCATGCTCGAGGATCCGCAAAAACTTACTGACGCCTTCGCACGTGCCTGGTTCAAGCTGCTTCACCGTGACATGGGCCCAAGATCTCGCTGGCTCGGTCCCGAAATCCCCAAGGAGGTCTTAATCTGGGAGGACCCAGTTCCAGCGGCCAACCACCCGTTGATCGATGAGCACGACATTTCTGCCCTGAAGAAGGAGATCCTGGCATCTGGTGTCCCAGCTGAAGCACTCATCTCTACTGCCTGGGCTTCTGCCTCCACTTTCCGTGGCGGTGACAAGCGTGGCGGTGCCAATGGTGCCCGCATCCGCCTTGCTCCTCAAAAGGACTGGAAGGTCAACAACCCGCCTCAATTGAGCAAGGTCTTGAGCCAATTGGAGAACCTGCAGAACAAGTTCAACAGCTCCGCATCTGGAGGCAAGAAGGTTTCGCTCGCGGACCTCATCGTTCTGGCTGGTTCCGCCGCTCTCGAGAAGGCAGCAGGTGTTTCCGTCCCATTCACACCGGGCCGCACCGATGCTTCCCAAGAGCAAACCGATGTTGAGTCCTTCACCCACCTCGAGCCACTCACCGACGGATTCCGCAACTACGGCAAATCAACCCCGCGTGTCAAGACCGAGCAATTCCTTGTTGACCGCGCCCACCTCCTCACTCTCTCCGCCCCGGAACTAGCCGTCCTGATCGGTGGTCTCCGCGTCCTCAACACCAACTTCGACGGCTCCTCCCACGGCGTCTTCACCAAGACCCCCGGCAAGCTCACCAACGACTTCTTCGTCAACCTACTCGACATGAGCACCGCCTGGAAGGCAACCGACTCGTCCCAGGACCTCTTCGAGGGCGTCGACCGCAAGACCGGTGCCAAGAAGTGGACTGCTACCCGTGCTGACCTGGTTTTCGGCTCCCACGCTGAGTTGCGTGCTCTATCTGAGGCTTACGCTTCTTCAGATGCAAAGGAGAAGTTTGTGAAGGACTTTGTGGCGGCTTGGGACAAGGTGATGAATCTGGACCGGTTTGATGTGAAGGCGCAAAGTGCCGGTAAGGCGAGGCTTTGAGTGGCTGGCTGAGTGTGGAAAAAGGAGAGATTACTAAAATTGATGATGCTACAATGCAGATGCTTTAGCAAGTTAGCTAGATCATGATTAGCAGCAATGACACGTCGTTCTTTTGCATATCATTGCGGTGAGAGTTGTGTGTCTGCCTCTCTGCCCTCCTAGAAGTCTAGCAAGGGCCTGCCAGAGGATAGAAACGTTCGTTGATTGTAGAACCCCAGGTTTTTCTAATACTAGGGGTAAAAGAAGTGCAAGACTGCTCTGCACAACAGAGTTAGGGATCTGGCATGAAATCTAGGGTAATACAACCACCTCTCGCACGTCTCCAAAGGGAGAGAGGGGGTTCTTATTTCCTTTTTTTCTTCTTTTTTTTCTTCCGAGTTTTCGAGTTTTCGAGTGCCTTTGAGCAAGCAGGTACAAGCTTATCAGCGTATCAATCTCGCGGCAACCGGTCCTGCCCTCTCCGATGTGCTCGCCCCACTTGGGCAAAATCCACGCCAGATTCTACGCACACCCAGTGTCACGCGTTACACCGCATCTGCAAATACCCAGTGCCCTATCAAGACCTGGCGAGGGGGTCTCCTGTCGGGTATTTGTATTGGTGGTAACAGACCGCGAGGACGCACATACCCAGCGGAAGCAATTTTCTAGAGGTCCTGATTTTGGCGGCTGTATTGGCGATAACTGGTTACTATCTTCCACTCTGGAGCTAGCACCACCTCGTTGCGAAAGAGAGCCGTCCTGCAACAATATGCATTATCACAGTCCGGACTTCAGAGCCCGATTCTAAAGGTGGAGGCGGAGCGTGGTGTGGTCATAAGATTGAGCACGACGTGAGAAGATGGCAGAGGGCGAGGAGACAGTGGCGTTTGGACTCTCCAGGTCGCTGACTCGACGAAGACGTTTCCGTGGCTCTTTGGGACTGTTTCGTTGTATACGCTGCTGCCGCCTTTCGAAGGCCAAGAGCCGGGCTACCTGCGACTTTTGGTGCATAGGCAAGAAGATGGCGACGTTGCTACAGACGCAGTACCTGAGAAGACACTAAGACGGGGCATTGATTCGCGTGGCGCAGCCGCCCTGGACTGGATATGTGGCGCCGATACCGAAGCATGTGAAGCAGGTCATGCTTCTCGTCAGTGGCGTGGCGGGCATGGCCCATGTTGCAGACGATTCATAGCCTGCTTGAGGAACGCAGGGAATATGGCATCGAAGAGGCAGGTCTGAGGAGGCCGGAATTGCATGTTGTGTGGTCCAAGCAAATCTCGAGCGTGTTGACGAGCACGGGATGTCTCCATCCTATGCACCGTCAACACCGTTCGAGGCTTCGACGGCGGGCAAGATAGCCTGTGCAGAGCTCGAGAGGTTAAGGAAATTTCATCCAGACAAATTTGTCGTTGGGTCCGTTGATGTGGGCAGCACGTTTGCACATGGCGCGAGGGTCATTGAGTCGGTTTCGCAGCAGCGGCGGGGCAAACTGATATTCCTGCGGTGTTTGGACGCGTGTGGACACCTGCCTTTCCACTCTGGGCTTCTTGTGGCTCATTCAAGGAGTTGGACAGAGCGAAACCGCTATTCATCTGTGGATCTAGAGGCGTTGCGGAAACGCTGTCTGGCTACAGCGATGATGGGGGCTCTGCACGGGGGACGGATTGAGTATTCTTGCGAAAGCTGAGAAGGTTTGAGAACCATGGATCTTCCGAAGATGAAAGTGTGTACTTGAAAGGAAAGGTCTTGGCATGTGTAGATACTGAACGCGGTCTCTCGACTCGGATTGCGATTTCAAACTTTGAAAATATCAATAACCAGCTTATCGACAATCGTAACTCCGTTATCGGATTCATCGAGCCTGGTCTATGGGTGTTCGGCTATTTGGTATGACGAGTAGAAGCAAGAGTGTGTTTCTTTGTATTTGGCTTGGGATTTGAGAACTAGTCTGCGATTTAGGTTATATGCCATATATATTTATTCGTCTTCAAGCAACCCAAGCACCTCTGCAAGCACGTTACAAGCTTCGCTACAATGGATTTCCAGAAGAGCAGAAGAAGGCTCCTCTAAGCACAATCTTGCAGACTCGTTAGCGTGTTTAGGATTCAAGGCTTGGTTTAGTGTAGAGCAGAGGCTGGCTAGGTTCACAGATGGAGATGGAATCGGTGAGGTTACGATCGTTGTACGACATAGTGTAACGGGCTCGTTGCCCTGCGTCGGTGTTTCCGGCGATCTTATTAGGGATGGTAAATCAAAGTTTGCTACTTTCCGTTACAAATAGGCATCACGACCTTTGAGTTTGATCCTCTCTCTTTTGGTTCAGGCACACGTGATCGCGGAAGCTTGACTAAGTTCTCTTCTAAACCTCGTTAAGGGTGTTAAGAAAGGAAAAATCGTGTGTAGTGCTCGATATTTAACGAGATATAATGAAGACACAAACTTTCGTTATTAGACTTGGGAAGCGCCGAGCAACAATGTAAATTGCATGAGAACGATTGCAGATGGTCAACCCCTGTTGCGGGCTTGGCGTGTCCCCCTTGCTTACTCGGCAGGGAGCAAGGCGAACAGTTCCAATGTCCGGTGCCACTGGTGGTGGCTGTGCATGCCCATCCCCCCGCGTTTCTATTCTTAATTTCTCCTCCTTTGCTTTCTTTTACTCAAACCTTCTCACACGACCTCTTAACATATCGTACAATATTATTTTCCACCCGTTAAGCAAAATCTTGATTGTTTTGCTCTCTGTCGGCCTGGTTGGTCCTTTATTAACTGCTCAATTGTGATCTTTGCTCTATCAGCCAAGATACACAAGAGCGGGGGAACCTCTCCCGTGTCTGACAGAACCCACAATCGAAGTTCTCCGCTCCCCAGCAAGCCCACCATGGCCGAAGCCGCCGGTCTTGTCTTGGGGATGATGGGCCTCTGGCAAAACTGCGTCGGCGTCTTCGATGTAATCGATTCTACCCGCCGCTATGGCATGGACTACGAGCTGCTCTGCGTGGAGCTCGAGGTCGAGCGGGTGCGACTCCTATGCTGGGGCGATGCTGTTGGGCTCAGCAACGCCAGTGCTGCTTCCCCAGCTCCTCCCGATGCGCGTTTCACTCGCGCCGAGGTCCGGACTACGGTCATCCGTCTCCTGGGCGCCATGCAGCAGGTCTTCGAGGATTCGGACCGGCTGCAGGAAGTCTATGGCTTGCGGTCCTACAGTGGCGGAGAGTTGGGGGCTGGGAATGAGATCCAGATCTCGCAGAGCCAGCTCATTCTAGGTGAGGTGTTTAAGAGAGCGTATCAGAATTTACGCCAGATGGCGAAGGATCGACAGCGTGAGACTGTGCTGGCAAGGAAGACACTCTGGGCTGTTCATGATAGGAAGAAGTTTGAGGAGTTGGTGAAGGAGGTGGGGGGGTTTAATGATAGTCTGGAGAGTCTGTTTCCGGATGCGAAGAGGAGGGCGGCGGAGGAGATGAGGGTGGAGGTTGAGGAGAGTGTAGAGATTGGGGAGCTAAGGCTGCTGCAGGAGGCGATGTCCGGTGGTCATGAGGAGTTGAGTGAGGTTGCTAGTGTACGATTGGAAGCACTGGGTGCTACGGTTTCGGCTAGGACGGAGCTGTTGAGCCAGACGGAGGATCAGAGGGATGCGTTGACTGTGACTGGCGCTGGTGATGACGATGTCGAAGAAGTGCCTAGAGAGGGGATGGAAGGAGGCCAGGCTGCTCTGAGAGAAGATGAGCCGTTGGATGAGCTGTCGAAGGAACTTAGGTATTTGGAGATATATGTGGGCAAGAAGAGTACGGGGGGCATTGACACTCAGCATCATCGGCCCTTATAGTCATACGGAGCACGTGTCTGCTCACGTCTACTGGGACCAAGACAAGAGGGGCGATTCCTTCTCACGGAGATGGGACGACAGAGACAAGGGGTTTGTCCCCATGCCGCACGCCTCCTTTGGTATGTATACTCTCCTCCTCCTCCTCCAACCAACATCTCTTTAACATGAAGCAGAGCTGTATCGAAAGAAGAAATACATGAAGAAGCGATACAGAAACGGAGAAAACTACGATATCCTTGATTCTGAGGACTATACGCTCCTCAATGCTGAGGCGCAACCGAAATATGAAAATGTTAACCCTGGGACGGTGACGGTTGAGGGATTTGGCATCGAGTGCTGGGACTTTGAGATGACGAAACCCCGGAGCAAGACAATAATGGTTAATCATTCGGCGATGCCCAATGTGCCTGCTGCCAAGCTGCTACGTAGGTTGGATGAACTGCGGAGAGGAGGCGATAGGCTGGGCTGGAGTCTGGACGAGGATGAACTTGATATCAAAGAATTTGTTGGCACTTTGGGGTAAGTTGAAAATGATGAATCATACGGACTTGGTTAACAAGTGATTGTTTCAGAATTGTGTATTACGACCAGAAATATGCGAAAGACCCAAAGCGTTGGGTTGGAGACTTGTACAGCGTGCTCAACCGTACCGATATATTCGCCGACTTCACTGCTGAGTCTAGTGTTGGTTTACAGTGGGCAGGTCCGAAAGAGAACGACAGCATCGGATTCTGGAACTTCTTGTGGCAGATCATTATTGCGAAAGAACTGGCACGGCGCCTAGATTCCAGTGAAGGGAATGGCTACACGGGCTTCACTGCGAGGATTTTGCCCAGCATGATCGTCTCAGACCTGTGGTTGACAAATGTCGGCATCGTCCTCACTGACGCGAAACTAAACACAGCAGATATCAAGAAGCCCGAGACCGATGCCGAGAAGGCGAAAGCAGAGGAGTTCAAGAACAAGGGCAATGCTGCATTGCAGAAGAAACAGTATCAAGAAGCCGTCGACTTCTACACGGAAGCTATCAAGATCGACCTCGGAAATCCAGTTTACCGATGCAATAGATCAGCGGCGTCATTTTCGAATGACAAGTTTGAGGGAGCGGAAGAAGATGCTTATGTTTTAACCCAACTCGATCCGAAATACGCAAAAGCATGGTCTCGTTGGGGAGCTGCGCGGCTCAAACTGGGAAGCTTCAAGCGAGCAAAGAAAGCGTATCAGAGAGCTATTGCTGTCGCTGGCAAAGACGCTACCGACCAGATGCGACAGGGACTCAAGGATACCCAGGCCAAACTCGAGGAAGCTGCTAAGGAGATCAAGAACGAGAAAAACAGGGAGAAGCAGCATGACTTGCGTTCGACGTATCTGGATCATGACTGGGATATTGTGGGTAAAAAGGTAGAGCTTCACACTTCTGTGCATGAGCGGCAGGTTGAGGGACTCCTCTTCTTCGCTGAAAAGATAAAATGGCCGTACATCAATGAGGTGCGTGACTATGCTGAAGGCGTGTACACGAATCTGCGAGGTGGGGAGAACATCAACATCCATCTCCACGACTGGCTATACGGCATCATGCTACCTGGGAAATGGTTCGCGTTCAAGATCATGACGGCACTGATCTTGTGCACACGCTCTGTTCGAGATATCAGCATTGCGCATTATTACGAGTGCGGGCTGTCACTCCCCAAACGATCCTATTGGCGCAGTAGGACCGTTCTAGGCCGAGTACTGGGTTGCTTGCCCGGCGTGATCTCCCTCTGTGGATGGCTTGGACCTTGTCCACCCGTCGAATTCGAAGGCCCTACGTCTACGTCCCCTTCTCTGGAAAACAAGAAACCAAAACACATCCGCATCCGCACCCGCCGTCTCGCGCCGCACGAACACAAACCTGACGAGGACGGTGTAGTCATCTACGCAGGTTCCTATCATGACAAATATGAGGCGACGCGCATCCGCCCTGACGAGGAAATGGAGCCTTACCTCGAGGATATGCAGGACTCGAGCCGGTGGATCATCCCTGAGCCTCCTGTAAGGCAGATCAGTACATGTGAACTCGTCTCCATTAAACTTAAAACACTACCTCTCGAACTTGCGTCGCAACCGCAATCCGGACGACCAGACGCCGAGGCAGAGCGAGAAGTCGAAAACGAGACTCAATATCGTGCTTCCATTGTTTTCAAACTCGATTCCAGCGCAGAGCCTGTTACGTATAAGTTATTCACAAACCCGGTATTTGTGACGCTGCCGCCGTGTAGGCCGGGACCGAGGGGTCAGCATGAGGTACATATGAGGGAGCTGCCGAGGTACCAGACCAATATTTGGACGGTGGAGATGTTGAAGGATCATACGGCCGAGGATAATGAGGGTGATGAGAAGGGGGTCATGACTATTAATGCTACCGGCAAAGGTGGTGAGTTTGTTAGCGAGGGCTTGGTGCTCGGAACGCGGGAAGAATGCGGTGATACGTAGGCAGGGGGGGCCGTGTTTTATTTGTGCTGTGAGGGCGGCGGGCGTGGCGAGCTTGGGGACGGGGGTTTTGATTTGGTTAGAGTAGTGGTTGAGAGCCCCGATGCATGATTAGAGTTTGGTTAGGGTTATCTTGATGATAATGATACCAAGGGTTTTAGTGCACATCTTGGGAGAGTTTGTAGCCAATTGAGTCCATGGAAACCTTTTGAAATTTCATCATCAATAACTCACAGAGTTTCCATATCTCGATGGCTAACACACAAACTCCTGTTTCAAAACAACTCTTTGATTTAGCCGAATAAGTGAAGCGAACAAAGAAGGACGACCATTACCCCTTTTAGCTAAGCGATAGCGCTAGCTGGCAAAGTACCTAAAGAGGGAGAGGCTAGATTTTAGGGAAGAGAGAGGTCCTGGAGACAGAATCCCCAAATCAGCAAGAAAGGATATGAGAGGTGAAGTTGAGAAGATGTTCGAATAGTGAATAGTTGAAATCCATCACGTGACACGACATGCCTCCCCCAATTGAATGACGACAATAGTCATTCGACAATATTTAATTTTATTCACCTGCACTTGGCTTTCTTGTTGAATATACTTCAACTGAAGAGCTTTGAGGGTTGTAGCATGCACGTGATTTGACGTTTCGTTTGCTCACTAGCGCCTTCCCCCAAGTTAAACGAACCTCTGCAATCGTCAATCCATCAATACTCGCACCTTCTGGTCGTAATTTGAGCCATTCATTACTTGCACTCGTACCTTTACGGTCTTTCCTCCTTTCATGGTTCCGGAGCGGCCTTGGCCTTTCACTTCCGAGCCAAAGGTCCCGCTCGATCGGCTCATACCACTCTTTCTCCGTTTGCATCTCACTTCCTCCGCCATGCTCCCCCAGAACACCTCAACGCCAATCAATTGAAGGTTTCTCAATACAGCAAACAATATTTGAGCCATTGAAGAAAACGGAGGCTGTACATGCCCTCTCCTTGTGTGGCACAAGACCCACCACCGCCCTTGGCATCTTTCAACCATCCTCCTATCCTCTAGGCTGAGAAGCGTTCTGCTATCGAATCAATTGACGTCTATGGCCATCCGTATCTCAAATCTCAACGCCTAAGACTTCGTATCCGACTCATTGAACAACGGCAACCCCTGTCACCATGGAGGTCTTCATTCGGGACGTGCCGGGCCAGGTCACTGAGAGTGTGCTGCGAAACCTTTTGCGACCCTACATGAATGACCAAGGAATCAAAACATACCATTGCCGGAAGCAACAGCAAAAGAAATTCGCTTTCCTCATCTTCCTTCATGTTCACGAGGGCAACAAATTCCTCCGCGCCTATGGCCAAGAAAAGCCCCCAAAGACGGGTCCGGCCATTCCAGCCAAGATACAAATACTATCAACGCCTATCTTCTGTGTGATTAGCAAAAAGACTCCAAATGTTCACCTGTTGAACAGTCTAGCGAAGGAAGAGAAAGAGCAAAATGTGAAGAGCAAGACTGTGCAGGAGGTTCCCAAGTTGGAGGTCAAAAAAGAATTCCGCACTTCGAGAGTTTTTTGTGGGGTCTGGAGCTACGCTGACTCGAACTTGATCTTCGTGCCTTATTTCGTTCTTGAAGGCAATGGTTTGGCGAAGTTTGGGCCTCGGAGTTTGACTTTGAGGGCCGATTCGGGCAAGAGAATTGAGTTTCTATACTCCAACATCTATGATATTACAACGGAAAACGAACCACACCCATCGTTCACCCTCGCGTGTCACGGCGCCCCTCAATTCTTCCATGGCACCCCTTCCGATTCGATGGATCTTCTGGTCTCCAATACTGCGAAGTTGAGCTTTGACAGCCGCAAAAGCCAACAGCGTCAGCGAATGCCAGCCTTAACACAAAATCATGGCGTAGTTGCGGGAAGCTGCTTTGTTTATCGGATCTTATTGGCGTATAATTCTTCATGGGCTCCCCACCAAGTGGCGGAATACATGCATTCACTTCAGAAGCTTTCCGGGCTCCCACCGATGACACACCAGCAAATCGACAGTATCCCTCCTCGGGAGTCGTTTGCCACTCTTCAGAAAGAACTCACGGCGAAGTTAGCGGATGTTAACAGGTTTTCGCACCACTGGAGATTGAAGTTCCAGATTCGAAGGCTGGCAACGAATGGCCATTTGACTCCCAGACAAATATTATCCATAATACCAGATATCCTGAAGATCCTTCAGCGCTCCGGCGTCACTACGTGTATCGCCGCTATGCAAAGGTTTCGCACTCAAATTCCATGGGCAGGTGCTGAGACGGACGCCAATGATCTCGACGTCCCGTCTTTGGTCCAACTGTTAAAGAGTGCCGAGACATATGCCTTGAGCAATGATGAATATCTCAACAGCGATGGAAGTTTTGGCCACGCTGCAGAGAATGTGGCGATGATACATCGTGTGCTGGTTACACCAGCAGGCATTTATCTCTATGGACCGGATGCCGAACCTATGAACCGTGTGCTGCGAAAATATCCTAAACACCACGAGTACTTTCTTCGAGTGTCATTCGCCGACGAAGATGGCGAGCCAGTGAGGTACAATCCGCGAGTATCGAATGACCAGATCTTCAATGATAGATTCAAGTCTGTCCTGAGAGATGGGATGAGTATTGCTGGTCGCAAATATGATTTTCTGGGATTCTCCCATTCCTCACTGCGGGCGCAATCGTGCTGGTTTATGGCCCCATTCACATATAAGGGTAGTCTGCTATACGACAGACTGTTGATTCAGCAGCTTGGGGACTTCACACAGATTAGGTGTCCTGCCAAGTGTGCAGCTCGGATTGGCCAAGCGTTTTCCGAGACTCCTGTTGCTGTTACCTTTCCTCCTGGAACAATTAGGAAGACGCATGATGTTGAACGCAATGGTCGAGTTTTCAGTGATGGAGTTGGCACCATGTCAACCTCTGTCATGCGTAAGATATGGAAAGCTCTCCCCTCAATGCAGGATCTGAAACCAACCTGTTTCCAGATCCGATATCAGGGTAGGCCTTACGCCTTCCTTTGGAGCCTCTGTAGGCTTCGCCATCTGTTCAGCGGTTGCTGACACATATTCAGGTGCGAAAGGAATGTTATCACTAGACACCCGTCTGGTCGGCGACTCTGTCCTCTTGCGTCCATCCATGATCAAGTTTGAAGGTTCGACCTCTATGGATATTGAGCTTTGCGGTTCCTCCTCGAGGCCCCTGCCAATGTATCTCAATCGACAAGTCATCAAAATTATGGAAGATATGGGTGTGCAGGATAGCTGGTTCTTGCAACTGCAATCTCAAGAGGTCGAGCGTCTCCGGAAGATCACCGCCACCGCAGGAAACGCGGCGAAATTCCTAAAATCGCAGTTGATAGGTGAAGCTGGGCACCTCTCATGGTTCATCAGAAAGCTCTTTTCCCTGGGGCTCGAGTTCCGAACTGATCGATTTCTAAGAGATGTGCTTGAATTGTCCGTTATAATGCAAGTCCGCGTCATGAAATACAAGGCTCGAATCCCCGTGCCATCTGGAATGACGTTGTACGGCGTCATGGACGAGACCGCCTATCTCAAAGAGGGGCAAATTTTCTGCACATTTATGGATGGCAAGGCAAAGAAGAATCTGGTTGGAAAGAATTTGGTCATCACCAGATCTCCAGCACTTCACCCCGGCGATGCTCAAATTGTGGAAGGAGTCACCCCGCCACCTGGCTCCCCTCTTTTACACCTGTCCAACTGCATTTGCTTTAGTCAGAAGGGAGAACGTGACCTGCCCAGTAAGTTGAGCGGCGGGGATTTAGACGGCGACCTTTACAACATCATCTGGGATTCTGCGTGCAAGCCTACTCACACCTGCATCCCAGCCGACTATCCGAGACAAGTCCCACAGGACATCGGTCGTGAGGTTACGCGGGAGGACATGACCGACTTTTTTATCAAATTCATGGAGACTGATCAACTCGGCCGGATTGCGACTTCCCACCAAGTGCTCGCAGATCAAAGGTCCCAAGGAACATCAGATCCCGACTGCAAGATGCTGGCCGAGCTTCACTCTACCGCCGTAGACTTCTCTAAGACCGGCATTCCGGTAAACTCCTATTTTTGCACATGACAACCAGCATGGCTGACCCTCAAACAGGTAAATATGAAATTAATGCCAAAGTTCATCCCTGTCCGACCAGATTTCATGGCCCCAGGACCCGACGTCAAAATTGAGAAAAAAGAAGGGCTTCTTCTCGAACAAACTTCCCCTCAAATACCCGACGACCAAAATGAGGATGAGGACTTCACACCATACCGCTACTACGAGAGCACAAAGATCCTGGGAAAACTTTCCGCGCCATCGACGAACACGAGATTTTCGGCGATCTTCACAGATACCGAATGGCCTCCAGCTCTAGAATAACGCTTCTAGATAAACTGTGGACTTACGTAAAACAGAAATGTCGACTCATCCACTGGCGTCAACATTTAGTCGAGGCACAGGAGATTAAAGACATGTATGAAGACTGTCTCCTCAACATCATGAAAACCTATAGCGAACATCCACTCCGCCCGATGTCTGAGCTCGAAGCTTTTATCGGCAATATTCTCGGCGCGCGAGGATCTCAATCAAAAAGGCAACGCGATCTATCAGTCCCAATGAAGGAGGCATTTGATCGAGACGTCGCTTTCATCGTTGACTGCATCAGAGGGAATAATGGGGAGGACGATGGTGATTCTGACGATGAGTATGAATATGAGGCGTTGGAGAGGAGTATTGCTTGCTTTGAAGTCAGTTTGGGTGAGGCTACGAGGGTAGCACAAGGTGGGAGAAAGAATGAACCTTTAATCAGCTTCAGATACATTGCTGCTGCTGTGTGCTTGAAGGAGATGGAAAAGGCCTTTGACTGAGGTGTGGTTTTGGGGGCGAGTTTCTCTCCTGGGTATAATTTTTACAGTGTGCGAGAGATAGGAGGTTATTTGTTTGTGGAACTGTCTTTGTTTTCCTGTATTATTCATATCGTCAGCACCGAGCCCCTAAACGCATCACTGTCTCGCTAAAAGTTGGTCGAAATAGAGGAGGGGCGATTACCCTGCCAAGGCCTCATCTCGGCTCAAAAGCTTAATTGTGGCACAGCAATATTCCAGCACCAACCAGAGAGGCCCACCCCGCACCTACAAAAAGGTGCTCATCCTGCTTGAGTTAAAATTTAGCCGTCGTCTTTGACGATAGTTTCTGAATCAGAAGGAGAACCGGGTTGTAGAACTATGCTGTCGAGAGTTTGGTCTGTTATTGTCGCGGGGTATGCCATCGCGACGGAGGCGCATACTGTGGTTACATATCCGGGGTGGAGAGGGAATAATTTGGAAATCACTGAGGATTTTCCGTTTGGGATGCAGTGGGCGTATCCTTGTGAGTATTCATCATATTTCCCAACAGAGATTTCACTTCCTTTTATCCGTATCCTCTGAATAGCTTGCTTCCCCTTTCCCCCTTTCCCCATTAACAGCCACAGGTGGCGGCCTCCCTCCTTCCACAAATCGCACAACATGGCCAGTAACTGGAGGATCCATTGCTACCCAACCCGGCTGGTTCACAAATCATGCCACAGGTGCCGCTACCAGATGGATTAAACGTCAAGGTGGGAGATCTGGCGACCATCCAGGTTGTGGAGGTTGCTAAATCAGGAGCTGGATTATACAACGTAGGTTCCCCTTAAGTCCCATCTCTATTTTTGAAGCCCTTGAGCTTTGAGGAAGGATTGAGTTCAGAATAGAGGAACTAACAGGAGAGAAGTGTGTGGATATTATCTTCGCCCTTCCAGAGAATGTCAATCCAGTAAATGAGACGAATTGTTTCAACAGCACGGATATCTCCTTCAAAGACCCATTCTCCAACGCAGCGACGACGACCACGTCAACGCCGGCTGGTGCCTCACGGACGGGGCTCTGGGGTCCATTATCTTGTTCCACCTCGAGTGCTTGCCCAACTCAGACTCCGTGTCCAAAAGCGAATGAAGTGGGATCGAAGGAGGGGGCTTCCGGCGTCGGATTTCCGCTCGGTGTGCTCGCACTAGGAATCCTGGGCTTGAAGGAGAGGGATTATTAAAAACAATTAATGGAAGTTTCCTTCGACTTATTTTCAAGCCTAGCCACCTCGAAAGCTAAGCAAAGAAGGTCTCGCACACCATCTCTGCCGCCATTATATACCTATGTACGAGGCTCCGCAGGCCATCTGGCCTCTACTCCGTCTCGAGATCGATGGCCTATGTCAAGCATCGCTAATAAAGCGCGGTTACAAGCAACCGCCTCTAAGCCCGTCCGTTCCATAATATTGAATCAGCTCGCGGCTTTTCGAACTCCACGTCAAAGCATCAGCGACAACTATCGCCCCTGCATATCTTGCGGGCCGCCAATAAAGAGTGAGATCGATGACAACAAGAAGTTCTTTCGGATCTTCCTGGAACAGAAAATTTCCTCCCAAGTCCGCTTGGATGAACTGCGATTCCACCCTCTTTGTCAAGGGTTCTTTGGCTTGCACTAGCCTCTCCAAGATGGGGTTCAAGTACGACAGCACCGTCCGGTCAACCCCTGAGACATCGTCTATCTTCTTCTCGCCCCAAGTAACCTTGTCCGCCTCGTCCCACCGGTTCGAACGGCTGACAATCGCCGCGTGTTTCATGCGCACCAGTTATGCGAGGTCTGCATGGAACATTCGAAAGACTTGCAGAACTTCCTCGAAGTTGTCACGATTCGACGCTCCGCCTGGCATTTGGCATCTGGCATTTGGCATCTGAGCTTGGCATCTGGCATCTGGGGTCACATGACGGTTGCACGTGACGAAGCTAAGGGAAGCTGTACTCTGGGAAATTTAGGACGCTAAGCCCTATTGGGCCGAGCCACAAGCGAGGAACTGTAAATACTTAAGGGACCTCAGCTCGAGACTCCCTTTCCTCCTTAGCTTAGTTTTCTCGATAAACAGTTCTCCTACAAGTGCCTCATCCGTGAGCTCCCTTTGTAGGGCTGTGACAGAAGTCACCTCCTACCTCTATAGCTCCTGAAAGAACGAGGATGCTGTCCGCCCGTTGAAAATAAATGTATTTGGTTGATCCACTGCTGCCCGGGGCTTGGACAGTCGGTAAGAAGTTGGTGAGAGACGCAACAGCTTGGTGGTGAGCTCAATTACCCATTATGATTCGGTGCCGTTATCTGACAGTTTGAATACTGTTTCTCCGACGAGGTAACAGAGCCCCCCTGCCGCCATGGAACCAGACAGGGATTCCCGAAAGCCCGAAGGCTTCAATTATTTCCGGCGTGGGTGGGCTCATAGTTGAATCGCTTTGGAAGAAAAGCTGTTACAGAGTGATGGAAGGTGAAGTGGCGGGTTGGTCCAATCGTTCAGGAGGAGGTATTCGAGATGTAGATATTGAGTGTAGTTCTACATCATATATTGGGACGCTGGCCTCCCTTACTTGCACAGCCCACCGAATGACTCATGTTGAAATCATTGAGAGATATGGGTTCCAGATCGCATTGAACTTCTTCGATGGCCTCCGGGTTTTATGTGAAGGATCTTGATGTGATGACTCAACAACAAGGGAGTGTACAATGATACTCCATGGTGGAAGTGAGTAAAATAACGGAATTGTTCTCAACATGGCCTCGATATGTAGTCAATTTTAAGTACCAAGTTGTGAACGAGTAGGATCGGTATTTTGAAGCCATAGAACTACTGGTGGGAGTGCTGGATTGGCTGAACTTCATTTGCCTGATGAGGAAATGAGTTCAAACGGTGGAGGATGGAGGCCTGTAGGCCACAACCCCACTCCGAATGCTATTTTCAATCACCCAGAGAGAATTGGGTACATTATAGATACAGTTCATGGTCAAGGGCGGGCTAGAAGCTTTTGAGAGATTGTATCCTTTCTGTCGTGTAAGGGCCTGTTTCGCACCCTTCGAGTATTCGGATATCGCCGATATCATAATACTAGTATCCTAATATTATGAATATTCGCATTTCGCATTTTTTTAGAAATTGAAGTTAAATGCTAGTATTTAAATACTAGTATCTGCCCCTATACTAATCTCAGTATTTTCAGAATAACCTCTAGTAGGTTATTCTGAAAATACTAAGAGTTAAATACTCGGCCTTAGGCTACTATATATACCTTAAATCCTATTTTTTAGGGGGTTTTCCATCCTATACCCGTATTTAATATTTAATTATATCTTCCTATACTATAATCATATTATTCTGGGACGAGTTTAATTATGAATTTGACTTAATTATTACGTAAATTATACTTAATAATATCGAATACTGGAAGATAACCTACTATAATAAGATTCCAATGCGAACCTCTCCCTGGAAAGGTTACTATAAGACCCTAAACCTCCTTAATTATAACTATTTATACCGGTATTAAGAGCAATTACGTATACTAATTATAACCTTTAGGAAATTAATTATATTTTACTAAGAGAATACCGAATTATACTTATCTAAATATATCTCTATTAAGGAAAAGGTAAATATTTTTATATATATTATTAGATAGCCTATATTAAATCGTAATATATAAGAGAAGTTCTTAAAATCAAGGGTAATAGTATTAAGGTATTTATTATAGGAATAATTTTATTATTATATTTCTAATAGTATAATAAATAGGATCTTCTATAAAGTACTTATAGCTCTAAATTTACTATTTGAGTATATAGTAAAATAACCTGATTTGGCTATAGAAATATATCCTCGAATTATATAAGACCCTTAATTCTCGCCTTATTTTAATAATTATATTAGTACCCTTAATAGAACTCATATTAATATATATTCAGGTATTAAAACGCAAGCTTCTTTTAGGAATTACTATAGTTATCTCTCTTATAATATACTTATTACTTATTTATTTAATTTATAGTTTACTTTTATATATCCTAGATAGGAAGGCTCTATAAATAATTAGAGGATACTATAAGATATTATTATGAGAAATGGCTTCCGTATTTCTAATAGTAGATTTTATCTTAGTAATATAGGATATATTAATACTAGGACTATTCTTACTCTATTTAGAAAAACAAGATACTATTTATAGGAAATTATTACTACTAGAGAGATTCCTGAGATATATTAAGAGCTCTTTAATTTATGGTACTTAATATTAAGAAATAAGATTAAGTATATCTTTAGTATCCTAAAGTAATGCTTTTCTTTTCTAAAAACAGATATAAAGTATAATTTATTAATATAAACGCATATTATCTTTACTATTTGTACCTTATATAATTATATTTATTAGTATAGTATTATAGTAGATAATATATTCGAGAATAGAAATAGCAAAATTAATAAGCCAGAAATAGCTAATAAGGAGGAAACTCTACTAATTACAAATCAAGAAATAAATACTTTTCATAACTAGATTACTTAAGACATATTTAAGTAATAGTAAGTATATTCTAGGAAATAAACTAGTTAAAATTACTATTAGCCGTAGGGTAATACGGGATTATTTTATTAGGAAAAATACTTTATAACTTTATTACTATCTCTATATAGGTTTAAAGTATATTATAGCTATTTATTATTTTTATATAGGGCTTTTATTTAAACTATTTTATAAGTATTTTAGACTTTATTCTGATTTTTAATTTAGTATTATATAAGAGCCCCTAATATTTATCCTTGGCCCAAAATCTACTAGTAGCCTTAAAAAATCAAACTAGTTTTTTTTAATAGTATTATAGCCCGGCTTCGGGGCTATCTTTTAGTATAATTTAGGCTATAGTTATAGTAGTAGTTATTAAGAAAATTTAGTTTTAAAAGAGGGTCTTGAAATTAAGCTATTATATAAGGTAATTTGGTATAGTATTATTAATTTATAAAAGCGGTATAGCGCTTACGGGAGCTCCCGTACTAATTAGAGGGCATTATTTAAACCTTAATTAACTTTGCTTTAGGCTTCTATATACTAGAGCCCCTAATTTTCAGGATATTATAAATGGCCTATATTAAGTTAAGATTTTTAATTTAATTACTAATAATTAGTCTTACTAATAATTTTAGTATTAGAAAGAATAAGTAAAGTATATTTAAATATACTAAAATTTATATTATTTTAATTAGTAATTATAAAAATATTCTTATCTAAGTAAATTTGTATTTTATATAGCTAATATTAGGCTTAAAGCAAAGAATATATTACTAATCTCTTAAATTACTATATAATTATACTTTCCCAAAAGTATCTAATTAAGGAAAAACATTCTTATTACTATCTATAAAGATTAGAAGAAAGAATATAACTAAAAGAAAAGGTATAGCCAAAACCCCTAATTCTCCCTATTATCCGATTCTTTAGGGATACTACTAGTACCTAAACTCCTATTATATTCGCTATTACTATCTCTAGCTATAAAAGCTTTTGTAAGACTAATAAGTAGAATATATTTTTTATTCTAATTACCTTATTTTTATACTTTCCTGCTTTTTTTTTCTTTCTAAATAATATAAATAACTTATCTCTAATATTCTTTTAATATACCCTTAATTAAATTATATCTTATAGGACTAACCTGAGTATTAAGAATACACCTAGTATAAGTAGGTATAAAGCTTCTATATAACCGAGAAATACTTTCCTTAATAAAGCTCGGAAGATCTATTTATAACCTGAAATCAAGTTTATTAACTAAGTCTTAATATATCTTATAGATAATATCTATTATATATTAATATTCAGGATATCTTAAGTTAAATTCCTCTTTTCTTCAGGCTAGTATTTCTTCTATTATGTCTATAATTTATATAGTTACTCCAGAAAGACTAGTACCTGTAGAGACTTTTACTCTCTTACCAGAAGCCCTCTTTTCTAGTCCCTGAGGGCGGGAACGCTTGAGTATACTAGCTTGTACGAGTTGACTTAGTATAGGTATTAATAATAAAGATAATAATGGTTTCGGTATACTATAAGTATTACTAAATAGATTATCTGCTTTATTATAATCTTTATTACCTGGAAGAAGTATACCTTCTGGGTAGCGGTTCCTTTGGAGAATACCGTCTTTATTAAGGAAGTCTTCTATAATCAGTTCATTCTCAGGTGGAACAGGTAGTCTTTGGTTCGATTTCACGGTAAGGAAAGCCGTAGTTCTTGCAGATTAAGTAGTATGAGTATATTTACCGGTAGCTAATCGGGGTTCCCAAAAGCTCTTCGATATCGGGTACCCAGTAGTATATATGATTCCGAAACCAGGCGTAATCTGTCTTGTTTTTTGGATCTAATAGAAAATCATCCTAGTATTCTTCTTTAGCCTATATCGATTATAGTTCTTCTTTCTATCCGAAACCAGTCAAAGCCTTAAATACAAATTATAGCTTGTATTTCTTCTTGAACTAGATATATGATTTATTAGTAAAATATTATAGAACCAGGAAAGTACGTACCTATTCGATCTTTCCTTTGATCTGCGAACCGGTAATAATATTAGTAGCAGGACCAATATTAAGGGAGATATAAACGGGCTGTAATTCCACTGCTATAGATATAAAATCGATCTTTTTAAAGACGTTATCTGCCAGCTTCCCTCCCTCGATATAACGTTATATAATATTAATTAGTACAGTTTCCAGTTTATCTGGCCAGATTATGGAGAAGCTAGTTGGTTCGACGGTATTTGGGGCTTTCGCATTCGTAGTTTTCCGTGTACGTACCATGGTTGAATTAAGTTTAATGATTATAAAAGAAGGAAGCGATTAATAAATCAAGAGGTTTCAATTAGAAGGGGGAGATTAGGGGGCTGAAGAAGAGGCTTAATAGGCTAGCAGAGATTAGTTTATACGCCCCGTAATTACAAGTGGATACTAAGTATCTACGACTTGAGAAACGGGTCTAAATTATACCGATACCAGCGTTCAATATCGAGCGTTAAACGCTAGAGTTCGATATTACTAATATCCGGTATCCAACTTGCGTGAGCCCGTGCGAAACAGGCCCTAAGCTATCTCAAGAAGCGGAGAATATGAGATGACAGGAGCAGGGGGATGACAAATTTACCAAACAACCACGAATCTTTCGCTCAATGCTCCCTTCAACCGTTTCGTCAATCATCCTGCTCTAACATTTTTGATACCGACCGGAGGAGTCACCAACTTCAACTTCAACTTCCGCCCATCTTCCCTAGCTTCATGCTCTTCCCCAACAACCTCCCCCACTTCCTGCAGCACTTTAACCGACGATCCAACTCCAACCACAACTCCTTTGGGACAAGTTTCAACGTAGCTAGGCCGAGGCGTACATTTCTGGGAGTGTCGTGAGGTAGGTCGATGACTGGGGCGTAAGCAAAGTGCGGTGCTAGACTTTCTCTTTGCTGGATTGCGAACGTCATGGGTATGAGCATGGATAAATACTTCAAAGGCGATGTTACTCGTCAGATTGCACGGTCTGTTCTGCGTCTCTTTCACGTGCGTCTTTCAATTCCGCCTGAATGGTCCCTTCTCCATGCCGGTCGTGAGGCCAAGCAAGCCAACCGGGTACTCGAGCCAAGCGCTGAAGGTCGTCACCGACAGCCTGCAGCTCAGCCTCAGCCTCATGATAATTAGTTCATCCCCCGCCAAGCAAAAAACAACTTTTCTTTGCCAACCAGAATGAGTGATGCAAGACAGTCACTAGAATGGACCCCAGGATTGGTAGGGAGGGGACGGAAAGAGCCGCAGCGCGATTCCTCAAGAAGTGATTGGGTGGCTGGCTTCTTTCAGCTCTTCAGCCTCCAAATCTCCACACTGTGGTGGTTCTCTTGGCAGTGTCTATTTCGGGCGTCGGAAAGCAAAACAGACGGCACGGATGCCCATTTCTCTGCTCTCCTTCTGGAAAACTGGTGTTGTTTTGACGTTGAGGAACATCACAACATCACGCGACAAAACCACGGTTGGAAAGCCTCTCCAAGGCTCCCATGCAATCGGACCCTGGTGCCTGATGAACCCAAAGCCTGCTCAAATACTCCCCGTACCCCGTAAAGCTTCCCTGCGCGCAGCTTTCAGGCAAAGCAAGATGCGTTCCTCTCCAGCAATGCCATCTTTTGCCCTCGTTTTCCTGCTCTTTGTCTCCTCTGTTTATGGGGCCGTCCTCTCTCCTCGCGCTTCAGCTGCACAAGTATGCGTCGGCTTGAGTGTCAAATCCAACAATGGCGACCGAAAGGTCGCTCTTGTCATAGACAGCTCAGGCTCGATGTTGGAGACTGACCCAGATAACCTCCGACTCGCTGCTGGCAGAGCACTAAACGACTGGCTAATTACCAAAGCGGAGGCGACGGGTGGCAAGAAATCAGATCTGGTCACTGTTATTGATTTCGATGATACGGCGACCTTGGACTATCCGCTCGGTGACCCTGCCGGAGCGAATAGCTCTTTCAGTAAGATTGATTCGTCCGGTGGGACATTCATCGCTGGTGGAGTACAGATGGGAATTGAGCAACTTACTTCTCCTGGCTCTGGCTCCACAAGTGGGAGGAGTAGCATCATCGTTTTCACGGACGGAGTGGTAAGACTTGTCGTCTCCTAATTATCTAACCCACCATTGCCTCATAGCGGTCATTTCGAGCATCATTCCCTAAAACATTTCCCGATAATTCTCACCAGTATGCTCAAAAACCTAATTTTGGCGGCAGGATTACGACACATTGACCTTGGTCGAGGCGATAAATGAAGCTTCTTCTTTGGGTATCCGGGTCTCCTTCGGCTTCCTCGATTCCACAGACAGCGTGCAAGACAGCTCAGTCCTGTCTGCTATCACTTCCTCTGGCGGTGTTTACGCCACGATCACCAGCGAGGATGCCTCAAACAACTTCATCAATTTTGCCATTCTCAACGGTCTCACACACAATGACAACCCTGCGGGGAACAGCAACACGCTTCTCGCTGGCCTTTCGATCTCCCAATTCATATCAGGAAGTAACTCGGTATCCACTTTCTACAACGCGCAAGCCAACGAGAAGATCAACTTCACCATCACCAGCATCACAGCCGATACTCTTACCGCAAAAGCCATCTTCGGCGGCAAAGTCATCAACAGCACCACCACCCCTTTCTACGGCGCTGACACGCTCAATGTCCAAGCCCCGGGCGCAGGGCGATTCGAAATCAAAGTCACCGCCCAAGATGCCCCCCCAAACGCTGTATACATTCTCGGCGCGACGTCAAACATGCCCATCCAGAACTGCTCCATCGCCGTCACAGGCGGTTCCTCCGGACTTAGCACAGGTGGAAAAGTTGGACTCGGTCTAGGCATCCCCATCCTCGTCGCGGGCCTTGGTCTCGGTGCATTCTTCCTTCTGAAACTCTTCGGGGGAAAGATTCCAGCGTTTGGTATCCCACCCCTTAAAAATCCATTCGCAAAAAATCCTTTCTCAAAATCTCCACCGACTCAACCTGATTACGAACAAACAATGATCAATGGCGCCGAAAAGACAGGGTTTGTGGAGACGATCACGCCTCTTGCAGCCATTCCGGCAAGCCTTGCTGCCGCCCCAGCCTTGACACAGGCAGCTCATCCATCCAGCACGGACCCAACTCAAACACCACAAACCACAGCCCAAGATCCGTCACAGAAGCACAAGCACAAACGCCACAAGCGCCGCAAGCATGCCAATGGACCGTATCACCATCACCACCTTGCTCCTGGCCATCCATGTCTTGAAGATTCAGTACCTCACTGTGCACTGTCCGACCCAGAGCATGTCTGTAAGGATCCTAATGAGAAGCCGCTGGGGCCGTGTGTGTGCACGGATAAGAAGTGTGAGTTGAATAAGGATGATCATGAGTGTGTTGTCGATGAGGAGGACAAGGAGAGGTGGCCACCTTGTGGGTGTGAGGATGAAGAGTGTGAGGTTACAAAGGAGGAGGAGAAGAAGAAGAGGGAGAAGCTGATGTTGGGGGGTGCAAAGATTGCTATCAAAGAGGGGGTGCATGCTGTTATGAACTGATGTGGAAGGAAGATGGAGGATTGGTTTGTGGGAATTTGTTTGCTGGAGAGAGTATCTTGTTGATTAGGTATACCCGTTTTCTAGAATGAGCGACGATTTACGACGTTTTGGCTTCATGACGAGAGAATACTTGAATCTGCCTTCATTGCTGGAAAGATGAAATGGAAGCGTCAGAAATTTTGCAAAAAGGGAACACTTGATCTACCTATGACTGCCCCTATCTTAAGCGAAACCGCACTTCCCCCCCCCCCCCCCCCCACACCCAACCTCCTCCCCCTTCTTTTTGGGGCATGTTGGATTTATAAGATCTCCGCCCTAAGAGTAATGGCCATAAATAAGTTACGCTGACAAGTTATATTCACCTGGAAAGCCATTCTCCGTCTATTCTTCATGTTCTGAGGAACAGATCACGTGCTACCTTCTCACCCCACATCACCCCTCAACCCCTGTGGGCCTTGCGGTCGAAAAGAAAAATCGGCTGCAGCGCCGATAACGCTAAGATTGTCACCGCAGGTGACGCATAATAATTCCCTCGCAACATCTCTCTTCTCTCCTCTCCCTCTCTGGCCCTCATCGCAGCTTCCAATTCCTCTGCAATGGCTCTCCGAATATCAGCAAAACGAGTAGCGGCTACTCTGAAAGCCGGCACCGTATCCTCGTCTCCCAATTGCATCGCGAAGAGGAATGCGTCCCAAGCAGTTGCAGCAGCAACAAATCTTTCAGCGGGAGTCAGAGATGAAATCTACGTGTGTACAGCCCTTCAAACATCCAGCCATTGACTGACATATCATCTGCAGCGAGATGCCCAGCTTCCAAACCCCGATCCAGCCTCCGATTCTGCCACCGCAGCCCTCGTCAACGAACAAGCACCTTTTATGGTGAAGACCTACATCCGCCCACCACCCATGTTCGTCAAAGGTGAAGGAATGTATCTCTGGGACGTCGAGAACAGGAAATATCTAGACTTCACAGCTGGAATAGCTGTTAATGCATTGGGGCACTGCGATCCTGAGATCAGTAAAATAATCGCGCAGCAAGTAAATATACATCATCTCACCCCATGTTTCCCCTCTGACTCACCACCCACCAGGCCAAAACTCTCATGCACACCTCGAACCTCTACCATAACCCCTGGACCGGCGCCCTCTCTGAACTACTTGTGCAAAAGACTCTGGAATCAGGCTCCATGCATGATACCTCCGCAGTCTTCGTCTGCAACTCAGGCACCGAAGCCAACGAAGCGGCTATCAAGTTCGCACGAAAGGTTGGCAAGGTCGTCGATCCGTCAGGCGAGAAATATGAATTCATATCCTTTAATGGCTCGTTCCATGGGCGTACAATGGGTGCTTTGTCCGCGACGCCGAACCCGAAATACCAGAAGCCTTTTGCACCGATGCTGCCGGGTTTCAAATATGGCACATACAATGATATTGCTGGTATCAAGGACCTGGTGACGGACAAAACGTGCGGTGTGATCGTGGAACCGATTCAAGGAGAAGGCGGCGTACAGGTCGCTACGGAGGAATTCCTCGTTGCGCTCGCAGCACGATGTCGAGAGGTCGGAGCTGTCTTGATCTACGACGAAATCCAATGCGGTCTCTCTCGGACAGGGAGGTTCTGGGCTCATGCTAGCCTACCGAAATCCGCACACCCGGACATCATTACCACGGCCAAGGCACTAGGGAACGGCTTCCCGATCGGCGCAACGATCGTCAATGGAAATGTGGCGGAGAAGATCGTGGTTGGTGATCACGGGACGACGTTTGGAGGAAATCCGCTGGGGGCTAGGTTGGCGCATTATATGGTTTCCCGACTCTCTGACCCTAAACTCCAGAACGAGGTGTTGGCCAAGAGCAAGATATTTTTGAAGCACTTCCAGCATCTGCAGCAGAAGTTCCCGGAGCTGGTAAAGGAGATTAGAGGCAGAGGGTTGATTTTGGGATTGCAGTTGACGCAAGATCCTACTCCAATTGTTACTGCTGCTAGAGAGAGAGGCTTGTTGGTTATTACGGCGGGCACGAATACCTTACGGTTTGTGCCTAGTCTTACAATTAAGGAAGAGGAGATTGAGGAGGGGATGCAGATACTGGAGGAGGCGATGAGGGTTGTTCTTACCCCTGGTGAGCACCCATCGGGGAAGCAGGTCAGCGGGGAAGTGGATTCGCCGAATTGATGTTAATGAGGAATGCTTCACGATGATCTATGCATGAAGCGAAGAGGATGGTGTTTGGCGTTCAGATATACACAAAAGCTTGCACCTTCTACCTAATGTTATCCTTACTCTCTTCCATTCTCAATAACGTTGTAGGGTTCTCACAGTTCTTCCATCTCGTGTCCCGGGTCAAGTTGACCATTCCAAAGCCCCAGTCTTCTGAATATATTCCCTTGTGTTGTGGAACATCCAAGTCCGTTGCTTTTAAATGTCTCCGGCAAGATTAAACTTTCTTGTCGAATCTTCCCTCATATTTACTGAACGTCTAAAATCCACCATCTATAAACGTTCCAGACCATGTTGGACGTTTCAATCTGTTACTCATTCGTATATGTACTTGCTTCTGGAACACCCAAATTATCGCACCCTTTAAATATCCCACTTGATGTGGGTTAATCAATTACAGAATACTTTCTCCACATCTCTAACATTGAGATTCCTCTGGCCTTCTTATATTGATAACTATTGCGTTCTTGAGTCTCAAGATTGTCCTAAAATTATCAAGTTCCTCTATTAAAAGTTTAGAGTATAGGTCCGCCCTGAAATGTTATTGAAGTGAGATTGTGAGCCTTCCCGTTTTGCAATTAGGTATTAAAGCAAGATTTTATAATGCCCTTCACTAGCAGATTGCCAGCGTGGACTATTTTGGACATGTATAAATCGTGGGGGGAGCAATACGGCTTCAGAACGTAAACGAAGCAAAGAGTGAATCCTCATAAAGGAGGAAATGGAAGGGAGGGCAAGGGGCAAGTTATATGGAGTAGGAGTAATTTGGATTTGGATTTTTTTGATTTTTCGATTTCCTTTTTACTTTATTAGCTCTAGAGCAGAGTCCAGTATATCAAAGAATTAATTACGTTAATTAAATTAATCGATTAATTAATTAATTAATGTAATTAGATTATAATTAATATAATTCAGATTTTTTTAATTAGATTAGATTAATTAATCTTGATTAATCTAATTAATACTTAATTAATTATATAATAATAGAGTTTCTTTAACTTTTTTTAACTTTTCTCTTTACTTTTACTTATTAATTATTAAATAACCTTATAACTAACTAATAATATTATAATAAGAAAATCTAAATTAAACTAAGAACTAACTAGCTACTTCTTTTCTATAATAATAAACTAATTATTCTCTTCCTTCTAAAACCTAATTTACTTTCCTTTTTTCTTCTTTTTTAGCTTCTTTTAATTTATCTCTAAATATACCCTAGCTCTTTAAATAAGATATCTTCTCAAAGATACTCTTATTAAGTCTATTTCGTAATTTAGATATAATAAGAATGCTATAAGAAAAGAATCTCTTACTAGTAGCTAAGGAAACCGGAATTCCTAAATATTTCCTAGCTATTAAAGCCAAAACAGGAAATTTAGTAGTATTAGATTTCTAATAATCTAATAACTTAATCTATATATATATTAATACTAATATATTAAAAAAGATTAAGGAAATATCGGGTAATTATTTAATAAACTTTAAATAAATTTTATTTATCTTTTTATTTTTTATTTTTTCTTCTAAATAAGTTATTAATTTATTATCTATATTAGAAGACTTATTAGTAATATATATATCTAAATCGTTTTCGTCGGAATCGGCTATATTAATATCCGAGGAATTAGATCTAGTATAAGATAAATTATATTTATATTTATATCTAAATATAAAATTAGTTATTAATTTATTAAAAAAAAAATTAAAGGAATTATTTATATATTATAATTAGTTTTTAATCTATTATATATATCCGAGAATATATTATTAGATAAGCTAATACTAGTTAATTCTTCTTATTTAATTCGAGAATTAAAAATAAGAGCTAAATATAAAGCTTTATTTTTATTATTTAAAATACTAGTTTTAGAATAATATTTTCGAAACTTAGCTATATTTATATTAATAATATTTATAAATACTTTATTTTATTAAATATTAATATAATATTATTAATAATATAAGAAGAATTTAAAAAAAGACTTATTTTAAATTTCTTTTCGAAATATTTTAAATTTATTATATATTTTGTATATTTTATATATTTTGTATATTTTATATATTTTATATATTTTATATATTTTGTATATTTATATATTTTGTATATTTTATATATTTTGTATATTTTATATATTTTGTATATTTTTGTATATTTTGTATATTTTTATATATTTTATATATTTTATATATTTTATATATTTTATATATTTTATATATTTTATATATTTTATATATTTTATATATTTTATATATTTTATTAATATAATTATTAGTTATTATTAATATAGCTATTTCTTTAAAAATTATATATATAGTTATAAGATATAAAATATAAAATATAATTATATAATTATATAATTTTATATTTTATTAATAATTTAACTAGTAAACTAGATTTTTTTAGATTTAATAAATTTTGGAATTATATATTAATACTATAATACTATAATTCCTATTTTAAAAACAATTTTACTAATTTATATAAATAGTATTTTATAATTATATAATAGTATTATATATTACTAGTAAATTAATACTAATTAGTTTATATATATAAATTAGAATATAGAATTTTTTAAATTAAAAAAGTATCCGGTAGCTTATAGTAAAATTAAACTAGTCTATATTAAAGGAAAGAACTACCTATTAACTTTATAAAATATCCGGTAACCTAAAAAAGAAAATAGCTAGCTTTTATTAAGAACTAATAATTATTTTATTAAAAAAAGAAATTACTTATTAACTTTATAAAGTATTTAGTAATCTAAAGAAAAAGACTCTAGTTCTTACTAATTAATAAGCGGTTAGTTATTTAATTATTTAATTATTTATTATTCTTTAAAACTAATTTCTTTTAGTTCCAAGATTACTTTCTTAAAATCTATTTTTTTTTTACTTATATAATACCTATATTTATAAAATATTCTCTCCGGAATATATATCCTATATATATCCTTAAAGCTCTTTAACTATTATTCTAATTTTATTATTAAATCGAGTTCTTTAAACTTTAGACTTTCTCGGAATTATAATATTTCACTTCCTAAATTTCTTATTATAAATGAAATATTTAAAAGCAAAATATTTACTTTAATATTTTTAATACTTTTAGGTATTTAAAATATCTAGTATTTTAATTAGATATCTGAACTAGATATCTAGTATCTAAATTAGGTATCTAAATATCTTTATTATTAAATTCTTTCTATAAACTTACTATAAATTACCTTATTTTTAAACCTCTCTTATTATAAATTATATATATATTAAAAAGGGCTTGGCCCTAGGAATTTAATATAGTAGAACTATAAAATAGATATATATAAATAAAAAATAGAAAAGTAATATTAATCTAATTACCTATAATAATAAGAAAGTTCTAAACTATTTTAATATTAGACTATTCTAGTATAAGGTAAAGAAGTTAACTAATAATAATCTCTAGGAATTATTTAAAAAGAATTTTTAGTAATTTTAATCTTAAAGTATTTAATTATTTAGATTAATATATATTATATGAATTATAAATTATTTTATAATATAATAGTATTTATATTAAATAAAATAATAAGAGACTTATTATTATATAGTTCTTAGTTAATACTATTTAGAAAAAAAAGTAATATACCTGAATTATAGCTAATATTATTATTATTAGACTAGATCTTAATACGGGCCCTATTATCTTATTATATATATTTCTTAATAATAGTATTATAAGAAATTAATAAATTAAACTAATTATTACTTATATTTCTTTATTACTTATAATTACTCTTACTAGTATCGGACTATAAAGAGCTAGTAATAATAGATTTTTACTATTTCTACTATTTTTATTATTTCTAAATAGTCTTTTAACTAGTTCTCTTATTATAAAGCTAATTAGAGAAATAATAAAAATATATATTAAAATATAGAAATATAATAAAACTAATAATAGTTTTAATTAAAAACTTATTATTTTCCTTAATATTTACTAATATATAAAGCTTTTATAAAAGATATTAGTAAGAGCTTTCTTTATTATATTAAAGGAACTAGTATAAGATTACTTTTATAATAACTAGCTCTTTTAATATATATATAAAAAGGCTTATATAAATATTTATAGCTTCTTTAAAAGCCCTAGTTTCTAATATTAAAACTTAAATAAGTAAAATACTATTATAATAGTAATTATAATAGCTTAATATCTTAAAAAAAAAATATTTGAACTTATCTAATTACTAATTAATAATCTATATAAATTATAATATAAACTAGTATTTGCCTTATAAAATACCGAATTCCTATATAATAAAATTATTATCTTTTATTAAGGTATATTAGTATACTAATATATAATCTCGGATTCTTTTCCTAATTTTAGCTAACTTATTAATAAGCTCTAATTATTTATTATTATTTATAAGAAGAAATAATAAATTAATACTGAAATTCTCTTTACTAATTAATAATACTATTCTTAAAATTCTCTAAACTACTATTTATTTAGAAATTATTAATATAAATCTAGCTATAATTTCGGAACTTATAATAATTATATTCTGAAATTATATTCTATATATAAAAAACCCGAATACTATTTATAGAAATATATACTAGAGAAATAAGAGGCTAAAAAGGCTCGATTTAAGAATAGAAATATTTATTAATTTAGATTCCGAAATACTTATAACTTTAATAAATATTTTAGTAATACTTATATATAGTATATTATTAAATTCAAAGGAAAAGAAAATAATAAGAGTAATAAGGACAAACTAGTAAATAATACTTTTAAAGCCTTATTAGTAAAAATAAATAAAAGAAAGAAATATTACTTTAATTTCTATTTTATTTCTATTAAAAGCTTTCTAGCTATTCCTATAGCTTTTACTTCTACTATTTCTATAACTAATATTCTTATAAATAACCTTATTTCTCTTTCTCTTATATACTAGATAATAAGTAAAAACTATATTTTAAAGTCTATTAAATAAATAGAAAATACTTAGATATTTATAATTAATAATATATTAAAATATAATACTTATTACTTTTACGGAATTATAATTAATACTAGAGCCTCTAAATTCTTAACTACTAGTTCTA